TTTTTTTTTTTTTGTGCTCCTTTTGTACGTGCCCTTCTGCACACAAGGCGGGCGTCCCAACAAGGGAAATTTCACCCCCTGCTGCAACCCGTCGAAGCGTTCACTTCGCAAATTAAACTCCGCGTTCGTCTCCATTTTTAAAATCGATACGATTTTTTGAAGCGTCAATACAGTGTGTTAATTGGCTCACCATCTTTTTCTAAGGACACGAAAGTGAACGTGAAGTCTTCCCCTTCGATTTTCTCACTCGTGGGGAGAACTTTTTTATCCAACAGAAGGGGCACATAAATAAAACGTCTACACAGAAGGGAAACAAGCTGCCTCAAGTTGATAATCCACCATTTGTTGAAAAAATGGCATCTCATCAAGAGAACATATACCCAGAGTGGGACCATCCTAAAAAAATTCTTGTTGCCCCTTTTGGAAGGAACGTAATAACACTAGGCCACTTCCACATATAGAAGAGTACGTAGGAGAAAACAAAACCGAAACCTTGAACGCTCAAAGAACAGCTGCACCGATTTCTATTATAGCAAAATTACAACTACAGTTGTTGCAACTTGGAGACAACGGATAAAAAAGTTCTAAATTGGACGTTATTTTAAGACGAATATGTCAAGTGGGTTACACACCCGCGGGGGCACACTTGTGAAAATAGGGGTAACGCTCAATGGGAAAAGTGCCGCGCACCGTCAGAAGGCGAAGCAGCGGGGGTGAAGTAAAAATCATGCATGCCTCACACCATGGGGAACACGTCCTCACAATATGCAGTATACACAAGTGATCGTCCAGAAAGACAGCGTACACCGCGCTGGGGGCAACTTCGGTGAAAAAAAAAAAAATATCCCCTCCGCCCCGGGTGCCCATTTGGCATTATTTGGTTGACTGATTTCCCCCCTGTGTGTATCTTCTCCTTACCGCGTACCTCCTATCAGATGACGCTCTTCATTTCGTCGATGGTGGCCGCATCGTAGAGCAAATGGTTCGTGTCATGCAATTCAATCGCCTTGATGAAATTCTTCGCGAGGGAAGGCAAGAGAGGGTAGTCCTCCTTGGTGCACTCATAACTGTTTTCGTCATTCTCCAGCATAAAGGCCTTCCAGCATGGCTTAAAAGATTCCAAGTCGATTTTATTTAACAGGACAATGGAGATGAGCCAGTCAAAATAATCGGCACTTTTTTCGACGTTCCTGTTGCAGGCGTATTTCTTAAGGGTAAGCTTTAAAATATTGGCTTGTAGTTTCTCATTAAATTTGGAGGGCACATTCAAGTTCTCGATTTTTCTGGTCAGCGTTTCCCATTCGTCTGATCCTGTGATTGTGGACAACTCCAGTATTTCGTTCACCTTGGGGAGGTACTCCTCGGTGAAGGCGTAGTCATCATTTGCGCCATTTGACCCTGCGTTGAGTGCTCCCGCCGTCTGGGCGCTCTTTTCTGCGCCGTCACTCGGGGAGCCCCTTCCGTCCGCGCTCACGGTTTGTGCGGCGATTTCTGAGGCGGAAGCGTCATGGGGCTGCTCCTCAGTTTTGCCCGTCGCATCATTCGCAGCGGCGTTAACGGTGCCACTTCCAACTGTAGTACCTCCCTCACCGCTATTCTTCAAGTTAACATTTCGCATGAAGAACTTGCCCTCATTGGCGCTGCCACTGTTTCCGCTCTTCTCCTTTACCGGGAACCTCGAATTTAGGTTGCTACAGAAGGCGCCTTCGCTGTTGCCATTGCCAGTGCCGCTGTTGCCATTGCCAGTGTCGCTGTTGCCATTGCTAGTGGCGTTGTTTCCCGCGCCACTCGCCGCGTTACCGCTATTACCGGTATTACCGCTTTCGTTATTCATAAAGGTCTGGAGGCTATTCTTGAAGGCGAAATGATTCTTGGACATCATGTCGAAGAAGCTGCCACTGGCATTGGATCCGACCTGGGATGCCCCAGCTGCACCGCCTACTCCTCCTACCCCTACACCTTTCATCATATCGTCGCCCATCACCTTTGACCCACTGGCATTTTTGGCCTTCATCAAATTTAGGGATAGCTTCTTCATATTTTTATTAGGGTCCGCATTTTTCGTCCCTCCACCGAGGTTCCTCATGTTCATCATGCTAAAGCCGGAATTGCTGTTGCTGCCGCTTCCGCTGCTGCCGAAGGCACCACCTCCGAGGTTACTACCCCCGCCAGTGTTGCTACTATTCATACCAAAATTGACGTTGCGAAGGAGATTGTTTCTCATATTGCTGAGACTGCTATTCATCTTGCTTTCGTGATAGTTACCCATGTGGCTGCTACTATTGAAGCTTCTGTTGCTTTGATCGATGTATTCTTTTAATATTTTGTCGTGTAACACACTGAGTGTGGTGGGTCCCTCCAATTTGTGAGCGAACTTCTTGTTCCACTTCTCATTTCTGTTGTCAATAACATCCTTAATGAGGCATCTAACACGGAAAGTAATGCTCTCATCATTTATCAGAGCGTGAAGAGTATTGTATAGCTCCTTCACTTTTTCCTGATTGGCTTTCTCATGTGTATCAAGAATTTCCCCCACGGTGTTCAGAAACATGCATAAAGCTTCCAAGTGTAGGTTTCCTTCATTGGTGTCATTTTTAGCAGAAATGTAGCTTTCCCTCTTCTCCAACAACTGCTTAATACAAACAAAGACAATCGGTATGGAGATGATTCCCGATTTTACTAGCTCCCCAACGAACAGCATATTTCCTCTAACCTTATTCTTGTGCATCTGCTCAAATTCGAACCTTTCCTCTTCATTCGTTAAGTGGCTTGGGTATTCTATCGGCTTGAGATTATTCTCAAAAGAATCTTGACATTGGTTAATTAGGATCTTCTTAAACTGAACAATGCTCTCGTCTTCCAACTTCATATTTTGGAAATGCACGTTCAATTTTTTACACAGCTGGACATACATCTGTACGAAGTGATGCTGTGTCACTGCCTTCTCGAAAACTAACTTCATCAACCCTATGATTTCTTCTAACTTTGTTATTCCTACTAGGATTATTTGTTCATATAGGAGGTCAAATTTTTCGAAAGTCAGTTTGTTAAGTATACCTCTCAACTTCCTCATCATACATGTGTACTTATCCGCTTTTAATTGATTTTGCTTCACAAGCCAAGCATTTTCTGCCACGCCTCTGCTGCTTCCTCCTCCGCTGTGGTTCTTATGTCTCCATGCATCTGGCGATTCAACAGCACGTGTCGAATCAAAGAATCCCTTCAATTTATCTCCGTCATTTTTTCTCCACTCCAGATTTGCCTGGCCCATCTTTCCTAACCCACCGACACTCGAATTGTGCGCATCGAGGGACCCGCTTCCAGATCCCATAACGCCTTTACCTCCGGCCCCTACCATGTTGTTACCTCCACTACTGTGATTCATGTCACCAAAATTGAGGTTCATATTAACTCCACCGTTTGCAAGGTGCCCACTATTGATCATGCCGTTCTTACCGCCTTGCCCATATCTCCACACATCATCGTTGTTCTTGCCTCCACTACCAGACATAATTCCGAACTGCTTGCCACTGCTAATGCCATGATTATTATTTCCACCCATGTAGTTATTACCCATGCCTGCGCTTCCACCACTTACGTGTCCGCCTCCTGCACCAGAGCTTCCAGCATTCATGTACCTCTTACTGTACATGCTATTCTTGCCCTCGTGTGCATGGGTACCAACACCCATGTGATTATTACTGTTCATTCCACTCGCGTCCATATGATTTATGTTGCAAGAACCCTCCATCATGGTGCTTCCCATTTTATGGGAATCCACATCGGGATTATAGGACAAGATAAAATTGAATCTCTCCTCTCCACTGTTCCACTTATTTCCGACAAAAATTTCGAGCAAATCAATTTTGGAATATATTTTACTCTTGCCCATTTTCTCCAGCTTCATCTGTTTCATTCGTTGTCTTTCCTTTTCCCTCTCTGACTCTTCATGATTTTTCTCATTCTGCGCTTCTACCTTTTCATTCGCTTTTTCGACTTCAATTTCGTCTGCTCTTTTTTCCAGCGAGTCTAGAAGCCCATCAGCATTGCTCTTGGGCTCTTCCTTCGGTTGTACCACTTTGCTTTCATCCATTTCCTCTTTCTCTGGTATCACTTCGTTTTCAGTTATTTCCTCTTTCTCTGGTATCACTTTGCCTTCACTGATTTGCTCCTTCGCTGGTATCACTTTGCTTTCACTCATTTGCTCTTTCTCGCCAACAGACGGGACCTCCTTTTCGCTGTTCAAGCTAGCTGGCTCGACATCCACGCTGCAGCTCATGCCGGTCATGCCGATCGTTCCGTCCATCTTCACGTCGACACTTGCCACCACATCGTCCGCCTTTTTCAGCATCGGATCCCTATCGCCTGCGCTTCCCACGATGGTGTCATTCTCGTTGTCCTTACTCGGGGCGTCAACTGTTCTCGTCACGTTGTCCTTACTTCCATCCCCTTTGCTCTTCTTCTCCTCCTGTAGGGCGACATCTGTCGCGCCTCCCCCAGTGGTCAGTTTTCCCTTGGCCCACTTCTTAATATCGCTAAAGAGTCCATACTTTTTCTTTCCTCCCGATTTGTTCTTTTCACTTTTTCCTATCGTCAAATCTTCATTCGACGATTTGGCTACTTTGACAGATTCTTCCGTGGCCATGGTAATGGCCGACTTGGTTTCCTCCTCCACGAGGCATTTTCCCGTTCCGGCATTTTCTTCCTTCCCTTCTACTCCCATTCCTTCTACTTCCTTAGCTTCTACTTTCCTTTCATTACTTACACTCTTCAATTCTCCCTTTTCCTTCACCGCGGGGCTGGTGTCATCCCCGCGTACATATTTCGCGTCTCCACTTGCCTCCGACATCTTACCATTGATTAGCACACTCAACCCGTCATTTTGCACACCTTGGGCGTTCATTTCTTTCTTTTCAGAGAAATGCTCACCTGCGGTAATTCTTTCGTGGGCCTCCTTCGCCTCTCCGATCTGGATACCATGGCGCTCTTCTACAGAGGTCACTACCTCCAGATTGCCCTCTGTATATTCTAATTTCATTTTCTCATACTTTGACAATCCATCTGGGAATACCTTTGCTGATCCCTCTTTCATTCCGTGCCTCTTTGCACCCTTCTCGCTCCAATCATCTGTGCGATGCATGGTACCGTCTGAGTCTGTTGGGGGAGAAAACTTGGCGATATTTCTGCTTCCACTGTCATCCGTTACGTTATTGTCACTTCCGATGATTTTGTTTCCCTCCACGATTTGGGCCTCTTCCCTATCATCCTTGGCAACGGGACTAAGTATCCTTTCTGCGCCCCCGTGAAATATTCTTTTGGGACTTTCCCTTTCTGGTCGGAGACTATCCGATTGGGGAGCGGCATCGGGACAGGCCTCAACGTGGAGGTCACCTTCGACTGCTACGACGGCTTTTACTGCTTCGACGGATTCGACTGCTTCGACGACTTCTTCCTCCTCCACAGCTGCATTACTCTTGCTCATTTTGTCTGCTTCGTCCTTTTGTTCCTCCATAATGCCGTCTCGCAATCCCTTCTTGGCTTCCCCGCCTCTGCGTTTGTGACAGGCGTCATCCGACCCTTCAGCCTCTGAAAGGGTGCCATTCTGATTAACCATTACATGGCCCATCATATCTTTCTCTTCCCTCCTGTTGGTGTCACCCTTTAGTGGCGTATCTGCTGCTGCTCCTGATGTGGCTCCTGATGTGGCTCCTGCTGTGGCTTCTCCTCCGAGTCGCCTGGAATCCCTCATATTGGATGCCGCACTTCCACCATCATATCCCTTTTTCATGTGTTCTTTCAGGTCGTTTCTTTTTCTCATTTCGCTTGCACCTCCACGGCCACTGTCCCTGCTGGTGCTGTTGCTACCATCATTGTGGTTACCACTGTTGAAATTTCTCTTCTCGTTAGTTTCGCCTCCTCGGGGGTGCACCGTCGTTCCTGATGGCTTGTCACGAATAGTGCTGTTCGAGTCATACCTCTTTCCACGCTGGTCTCTCCTCTTGGACGATTTATCTCCTTTATGATTCGATCCATGGTGCACACTCTTCCTATCGTTGTGGGACGATTCCGATTTAGTATTCTTGGCATCTCCTCCCCTCGGCTCCTTCGTTTCTTTCTTTGGCTTCCTCTTGGCCATTTCCGCAAAGGAGATCTTTCCGTCCCACACGGAGTTCTTCGAGTTAGAGTAGGTTGACACGGAGCGGTTGTCATGCGCACTGGAACTGACAGTTCCATTCACATTGGCATTGACATTTCCATTCACACTTCCATCCTGGTTCGCCGCCTGGTTGTGATACTCGCTTGACCCTTCTCCGTACTTATAGCTGCCTTCCTTGTTCATATCTGCGTTTTCCCCCTTTTTCATCTGCGTATTATTACCCTGCCCACAGCTACCCCCTCCAGCATGCGCGTTATTCTCATTGAGGCTGTCATTCTGGTAGTGGTCGTCTTTATTCCTGCCCGATTCGCTTCTTAACCCGTTTGTCCATTCGTTCGATAGATGGATCTTCTTAACACCGTCGTCCCTTCCAGCCCCTGCTGCTACTGCGGCTTCGTGATCATCCACCCGTTTTTCATACTCGGCATTTTTTCCTTCCCAGTTAGAATGCGCTTTGGTTCTTCCCTCGTATGCATGGTCCCTGCCTAGTTTCTTTACTGCATCTGATTGCTCCTCCCTCTCGGCATGTTTGCTGCTCCTAGTAGTGCCCCCAACGCTTTTTTGATGTTCTTGGGCCCTTCCTTTTTTCTCTATAGCCTCTTTGCGATCCTCACTCCTTCGCTTCATAACCTTCTCATTAATCTGCTTAATTTCGACATTTTGGATCTTCATTTTTTCTCTTTGTCGGTGAGAGGAATAAATATTTCCAGACGTGTTCATAACATTTCCACCACCACTTCGTCCTTCTGCTTTTCTCTCATTCACCATTTCGATCTTCTTCACACCTCCTCTACTGGCATTTTCGTACTTCATTTTGCTTCCCCTCTCTTTAATACTCTCCTTATCATGGTAACTAGTATTTTTACCGCTTCCGTAGGAGGTCAATTTCTTATTCTTAGCGTTATTACTCATCATATTATCGCTTCTATCTTCGTTCCCCTTTTTGCTGGATTTGCTATAAGGGACAACATTACTGCTGCTGCTCATTCCGATCATAACTTTGCTCACCATTCCTTTGTGTCTATCGGCTCTCTGCTCTTCCTCATCCTTTCTCTTCTTTCCATCCCTGCTACTTTGCGAATTACTGAGGGTTCTGGTTCCACTTTCGTGCCTCATATGCAACGGTCCATTGACGGCGGAACTGCCCCCTTTTGAGTACCCTCCTGCTGCGCCGCTTTCATTATTGTGGCCTCGACCTTTCGCATTGTTATAAGCGCTGCTGCTTCGATCTCTCACCCCAGATGCGCCTCCCATGGCACGGTGACCACTGCTTCCCCTGTCTGCGTTACCACCATCGTGGTGTTTCAAATTAGCATTCGCCACGGAAGTTGGTCCAGAAACACCGCCTCGCCCAGTATCGTGATTACTTTCACTCTCCTGTTTTCCGTTCAAGATGCTTTTCTCTCCTTTCTTTTTAGTGGGATTCATTTTGGCAATCTTTACCCAGGAAGAAAATTCCGTGTTGTTCTTCTTATCATAATTTTTCGCATTTTTCCCATTGGCATAACTTTCCTTTTTGTTGCTGCTCATCGCATTTTCGTCGTAGTTGTTCTTGGGGTAGGGGCCACTCACCCCCTCGATACCTCCTCCAACACGTGGCAGATTCTTACCATTCACGCTATGCTTATTTGTAACTACCCCCTGATCATTCGTATTCGAAAGGGTGAAATTACTTCCACTTCCTCCCGTAGGTGTGGATCCCACTTTCACCGTCGAACCCTTTGTCGCTCCTCCAGATCCTGCTACCATGTTGCTATCCTTCTCCTTAAACTTCTTATCATCTTCATTTTTTAATTTCTTTTCATTTGCACCCTTGCCTCCTTCGGCATTCCTCATGTGTCCCACTCGCTTGTCCACATTGCTATGGTATTTTGCACTACTTGTGTTGTAACTTCCCTGCTGCTTGTTGTTGCCAAGGTGGGGTTGCTGACTACCCATACTGCCGCTATTCGAATGTCCGAGCATATCGCTATATGGCTTCTTCACATGCACATCAGCATTTTTTGTGCCCCCCTTATTGTTATCCTTAGGTACATCCTTCTTCGATCCTGCTACGGCCCCTCCGATGTGATTGTAGCTGCCTTTCTCTTCACTCATTTTGTTACTTGCGTAATTTTTGCCCCCTCTATAATCTTCCTTATTTTTTTCATGCTTGTTAAAGGATCTCTTCTCCCCTGCTGCTGTTGCCGTTCCATGGTTGCTGCTGGACACATCGGCATGGGTGGAGCAGACCACATTGTTCGAATTGTTACTGTTGTTGCTGACTTTGTTCCTAGCATTACTGGCGTTATTAACGTTACTGTATCCTCCCGCTTTTCCCTTAAAGGAGCCCTTACCCCCTTCGTTGGTGCTACCATCGTAGTGGAGAAGCTTATTTGCATTCGTGTCGTCTAAATTTTCCTTCACGCCGCCACCCAAATCGGACTCCTTCTGGTGCAGAGCACTACTCATATTATTGTTACTATTCGTGTTATTGCTAGCTGAACCAGTCGACAAAATGACGTTGTTATTATTATTGCCCGTCAATCCTTTACCAAAATAGCTGTTGCTCGCTGGAGATGAAGTCGCCCCAGGGGTTGCTGTTGTAGTCGCGTTTCCCTTTTCGTCCCTTCCGTAGAGCACTTCCTGTTTTGCTCCCTTTGCACTGACGTATACATTTTTCGATCCACTAACGGCGATAACATGACTGGTGTTGTTCCCAGAATGGGCATTCAAATTCACGTTCATGTTGTTTGCTCCACTTCCACTGTACTTGCTGCCTTTCTTGCTGTCCTGTTTACCATAGGAAGTCAAAACGGACGACACTCCTCCGCTACCGCTACCAGCAGCAGAGCCAGCATTGTTAGCTATCATGTTGTTACTATTACTGGTGTTGCCTTTCACTCCTCCTTTGCTATCTCGATGGGCACCTGACTTCCCGCTGTTGTTATTATTACTTCCACCTGCATTGTTCATGCCCCTTTCGCTGTATGTACTATTTCGCTTCTGCTGCTTGGTAACTACTGCTCCACCAATCGGTCCGCCTATTCCCTCCATGGTATTTACCATCATGTTGTGATTCATTTGCATACTCCCCATGTGCATTCCTCCTGGGGTGATGTTCCCCATGGCAGCTGCACCGGCAGCTCCTCCTACCCCCATGACGTTGTTCATCTGATTCATATGGTGATGCGACAAGGGAGTCACATTAGCCGCATTTATATTGGTCATATGCAACGGTCCATTTATACACATCATACTGCCATTTGCATTCATACCTAGGTTGTTTCCTAATCCTGGGGTTAGGTGCATTCCGCTTGTACTGCTGCTTCCACTGTTGTTAGTGCCATTATTGACGCTAATGTTTGGACCTGCGTTTGCAGCGCCGGCAGTTACGCTATTTTTATTACTTCCAGCATTCTCGCCAGTAGGAAGTAGGTTACCAGTGCCGCTACCATTAACATTATGCGTTGGGCTGAAGTTTCCGTATCCGTACGTAATGCCCCCCGCAGCCGCGGCACCTCCAATTACATTACTCATGTTACTCATATTACTCATGTTGCTAATGTTACTGTTATTGTTACTGACGCTATGCTCGAAGTTGGTATCAGTGAGGTTACTCCCCCCGGCGTGCATCGTGCCCATGTTGAAATGGTTAAAGAGGTTTCGTCTGTTCGGCTGGGCCACATGATTATACGAGAGTTTTAAAGGCGGAGCTGCGCTGCCCAAATTTCCCGAGGTGCCCGAAATGAAGTGTGCTTCCAAAGGGGCAGTCAAATTTAATGGGCCATTATGCTGTAACTGGGGGGGTGGCGGATGGGTAGGTAAGCCACATGACATAAAACTGTATGGATTAATGTTCATCGTTCCGTTCTTCGACGACGATAATGCAGTCGTGTTACTTCCAATCAGATTTGTATTGTTGCCAAAGGAACCATACACAGAAGGGGGAGGCTGTGCGAAGGGAAAATCAGGATGGACCGTCCCCGATCCTAACGAGTTTCTATAGGACATTGGAGTAAATAATGACTGAGGGGGGGGTCCTCCAGATAAAGCATTCGGGTGAGGGTGATGAGGATGATGTGGATGTGCATGCGGATGGTTATTCATTAAGTAGGGGTTGCTGACGTAAAAATTGTGTGGATGCATCATGGATCCATTTGAATGAAAAGTTTGATGATGTCCAGCATTATGTGGGTCTATCGTGTGAAATGGGGAAGGACCGGAATTTTCCGACCCCTTGATAAAGTTGTTATTAGCTCTCATATTCTTCATTGCAGGTAGCATCCCACTTTGATTTAAAAAGTTAGAATCGGTTCCAGTGTTATTTATTCCTGCTTTTCCTACTATAGCAGTCCCTGCTGAGTCATGCATCATGCTGGACGAAGTGGGCGTCACGTTATTTTCATGATCACTCGAAGTGGCATTATTAAGATTATTCCCCATCTTCGAACTGCTCACCGATTTATTACCTGCGTTATTGTTTATATTCAGCCCACTCGTGGCAGAAACACCACCACTGGGAAGACGATTCCCCTTGTCATTATTTCGAGTATCCATATTACTCAGATTATTCACTTGGGGTAACATTACACCAACATTATTGGGAATGGTTAAACTGATGCCACCATTCGATGCTGACATATGACTGGAATTCGCTAAGTTTAGCAGATCACCTGGACCATGGCCCATTCCACCAAGAGGGCTTAACAACGGGTTAGGAGTCATCATACTATTGCTTCCCTGTGCAGCCAAACTATTAATCAGTCCATTCGTTGCTACTCCTCCGAAGGCTCCATTGGACATATCTTGATAGTAATGGTTCCACATTAAATTGTTGAAAGATAAGCCTCCTTGCATTCCTTTGGTTGATGGCACAAACTCAGGTGCATCTGCGTTTAGTGAACTAACTGGCGCAGAGCCATTGCTAATGCTCGATTTTGGGGACGACACGGAATGCCCTTTGACGCTGCCATTTTTCCCTTCAACGCTGTAACTGTTTTTTTTTTTCTTCCCATTCTCACTGTTATTATTACTTCGGTTAGCGGCATCTGCATTTTTGCTACTACTCTGTTCGTTCTTCTGATCGTTGTTCTGATTATCACTGTTTTCATTTTTCCTCGTGTCCTCCACGCTCTTCCCCTTGTTGGGGTTCTCCAAATCGCCGCTACCTTCACCGGTACCTTCACCGCTTCCCGCGTCATGATGGCTGTTCTTCCTGTGTTTATCCCCGTCGTTTTCGCCATCTTCTCCGCTGTTGCTGCGTCGCGCGTTTCCGCCTCCACCGTTATTGCCACTTCCACCGTTATTGCCACTTCCGCTGTTATTGTTACTTCCGCTGTTATTGTTACTTCCGCCATGGTTACTGCTTCCCCCATTGCTGCCGCTGTTGGCGTTTTCCCCGCTATTACTGTCATCGTTCCTACCACTACCGCTGGCATTGCCGCTCGCACCTTCACTCGCGCTGTGGCTGCTCCTCCCGTGGTTTTTATTGCCCTCCTCCGAGAGTCCAATTCGGAACTGGTCGCCTTCTTTACGCGTGACACCTTCACAGCCTGCCGCTTCATCGCTGCAATTATTGCGTCCAGATTCCTTCGGGGTGTCCTGCTTGCAATGGGTCGTTTCATTCGGGTGCCCTTCGCTGCCCTCTATCAGGTCTGCATACGCAGAAACGTTATTCATTTTGACATTACTTTCGGTGACTGGATTAAACTTGGACACATCCGCGCAAGCTTCGCTGGTGGCATTAGCGCTGTTTACGCGCGTAGAGTCATAAACGACGTTGGAGTAATTCTGGTCGCCCGCGCCACTTTGGCTGTAACACACTGGCGCGTCGTTATTCTTGGACTCACTAGCTGCATCGATAGAGGCGTCCGCAGTGGGGCTGCTTCCATTGGGGAAGCTTACACTGGGGCTGTCTCCACTGGGGCACTTTGCTCCTGGGTCCATGGTCTCCTGATCCCGGGATTCCTTTCTGGCGAGTTCACGTTCTTTCGCATCACTGGGAGAATCCGCGCCGGATCCACTGACATCACCGCGGCTGTCTCCTGCCGAAGTTGACTTCACCTCGCTGGCAGGAATCACCTCGAAATTATGAAGTGTAATGCTTCCTTTGAGGCTTCCCACATCGTCAACATTGCGCATAAACGTTTCTTCACTCACTCGGACGTCTTTTTCGCCCTTCGCATCTTCCTCCTTTTGCACCAACATTTCACAATTACCATTTGGGCAGTGCCTACCATGAGCCTGGTCATAATCTTTACTCACTACAGAAATGGATGTTCCTTCTGTCATGTCGGTGGAGTTACTTACGTTTTTTTGACTAACGGATTGGGCTTCTGTAGCAATGTTTATCTCGGCAGGACAAATATTGCAATCGCTGCTACTTTCCATGTCATCTTTGAAGGTGGCACTACTTACATGGTCGTCATTAATTACATTCCCATTTTCATATATGCCACTTGTAGTACCTTCATTGGTTTGCTCCCTGCAGCCAGGACTGCCGCTACCACTGTAGGCACTTCTATTCATAATTCCGTTCATCCTACTTCTATTATACTCAGGTAAATCGGTGCTTACAATTATGTCGCTTTGCATCTTTGCCTACAATTTGAGACTATTCAGAGATTCGGGTATAAAAATCTCTCCTTCGATTAAGGTGCTAAACGTGTGTAGGCTCGTGGAGGTACAAACACACCGTCACAATATGCAACCGTACCGGTAGAAGACACCCAGTGCGCAACAATAACATACAACATAAATGCTCGCTCTGTAAACTGTATCTTCATATGTACGCACACGCCTTCCACAATCCTGGGGCACACACCACACCTATTCGTTCACTGGCTTGGGTCCTGCTGAAATGGAAAAAGTGGTTGCAATTATGATGCGTTGTAGATATGATGGGTTGTAAGCTATGATCAAGGGGAAATGGTTAATCCAAAGGAGGAGGCACACATATGCGCGTGCTACATGCGATGGAAAAAAAACGAATGCCTCGCTAGGTAAACCAACGTCGACTATACAGCCCACATATATAGTGCATACATAAGGGGTTGAGCCACTTTCGCGTAATGCCGCTGAGGATCACGCTCGCATTCCTACGTTTTCGCAAAAGTGTACACTACAATTGTGCTTCTACTCAGCATATAAATGGGCACACGCAGCGAGGTATAGATATAACTACTGTGCACTCTCGAAAGGATAAGCACAAAATGGGAACTACTCAGTAGGGTCTACTAAAACGGGCGAAACATCACTAGGGCAACTTTTACTCCTCACGTTAAAATATGTTGACAATAATTAGAGTGTGAAATAGGGCGGGAGGGTACAGATGCAAGTGGGGCGGGTGCCACAGTTTTGGGCGCAATTGGGGGAGGATAACACATAACACACTCTGAGAAGGCACATTTGGGCGGATTGCCCCGTATGCACACAAATTGACAATCACAGCTACGAAGGCGCAGCTACGAAAGCGCAGCTAAGAAGGCATAATAATTACACACTGCTGAGAGACGTCCCCGAAAACACTTAAAAGAAATAAAAAAAAGGATGATAAAACAAAAGGCGGAACTGCATATGTAGGGAGATTACATTCACTACGATGCGGTGTTCTCTTCATATATCGGCATTAGCAAGAACGCAGCGGCAACTACACAGGTGGAGTGAACGCACGGCTTACAGGGGTAACGCACAGGCACACGTCTACGCTTGAAGTAGTCTCAGTGCACTGCTACACTCATATGCAACAGAAACTTCCACGAGGAAGGAGCTTTATAGAGATCAGGAAGCGACGTCAATATGTAACTCACCTCACCGAGAAAGAAAAAAAAAAGTTTCTCCCTAACAATAGATTAAATGATAAACATTAAACGAACAAGGCACTGGGGGATGAAGGGTGACTCCCGCTACAATGTCGAGTCGTCCTCAATACAAAATGGAACGCACAAGTGATATTTTAAAATCAAAAGTGGTGGACGTCCCCGGGTGGGGGGTTCTCTCTCTGTGTAATTTATGCACAGGGGGGACGACCATCCAATGGTCTCAATGGCCCCAATGGTCCCAGTGGCCCTAACGACAGAGGCTCAAATTAGCGTGCACACAAAAATGAAGGCAAAAAATCACATGTACAGGAATATCCCTAAGTAGCATTATGTAGGTATACATCTGTACGGCGCAATGATGAGGCAGAAAGTTGCCCCTCACGATAATTAAAACTGTTAATATGTAGACACTTCTAATGTGAGCAAACGGTAGCATCGGCATGTATTTCCCGTTCCGGATTGGTCGATTCCTAGTCCGTCGACGCGAGGCATGTAACCAGTGCCGTGGGAGTAACGCATGTGCATTATGGTAAGCAAAATGAGCAGGCACACACAGACACACACACATACGGACGTAAGGAGGTAACTATGCATGTATTTCCACACAGGCGGCATACACACAAACGAGTAACTCGTTTTATTAATCTTACCTGAGTGAACACTACTTTGGGGAGAGCCTTGTGCAGGTGCGTCAATGCAGCTAATTCTGCTGATGCTGCTAAGGCTGATTACGCTAGGTATGCTACGTGCGCTATGTACGCTGCTTGCGCTTCTTATTCTGCTTCTGACGGTGGGGCTTCACATGTATTCCGGTTCCTTTTTAACCTCTTAAGTTTTTGTGGTTCGCGTGGGGGCGCGCTGCAAATGAGTCCTTCGATTGTCCAATTCGCCTAGGCATAGGTCGTTAGGCGGGAGGGTGTCTATGCGTATAAGTGGGCGAGAGGATTATCGTTCTTGCACCAATGTTCACGCGTGCACATACGTCCGTATACATGCGTCTGTGCGTAGGTGTATATATTTGTACACACACGTGGGCGGTGAATTGGGCGTGATAAGCCGCCACGTAAAAACACAAGGCATGCACAAATTAAAAGGGGGCAGAAGATAAAATGTACTTTGACATAAATAACATTAGAAATATGATTTTTTTTTTTTTTTTCCTTTTTTCTCCTAATCATACGTGTAAACAAAAACTGTGATGACTATTTGAGTGTTAAAATAACAGGCGTCTCAACACGTGGGCGTTAAGCAAAAAGTACAAGTAGTGGCTATATCTGCTTGCGCTTTCACTTGCGATTGTGTGTGCACATGCGTACGTGGGTTATTACATTGATCTGTAAAAACGTTTACGTGGGAATGTAACAATCACGCGTGGAATGTAAAGTCATAATGGAGAATATGAAGGGGAAGAAAAAATAGAGGAGGGGCTTGATACAACTGCTGCTGCTTACAACTGATGCTTACAATTTCTGCTTACAATTGCTTCCTACAACTGATGCTTACAATTGCTTCCTACAACTGATGCTTACAATTGCTTCCTACAACTGATGCTTACAATTGCTTCCTACAACTGCTGCTTATGCTGGTAACAAGAAAGGCAAGTAGCAGAGGGGGGAATGAATAAAAGGGAGCACGGGTCGAATGGCCCAAATTGTGTAAAAGTGAAGAAATATGGTGAAAATTCGCAGTGTTCGCCTTTACATGCAGATCCGTACAACATACACAAATGTAGCTGGGCGCATGCGTAAAGTGGGGAAGAGCACAGATGATGTCGTTTCCGTCGCTTCGGTCGTTTTGATCGTTTTGATCGTTTTGGTCGCTTTCAAGAAGATGGTCCCGTAAAGGAGCTATCTCAGTGTGCTTTAAATAAATAAGCGTTAAAATGTTTCCCCTTCCATCGATGAACAAATTGGCATAGGGGGGGTAACAAGCATATAGAGGGTTGCTCCGCGCAATATATACGCCGTCGGTCGGGGTCGGCTGATCAGTCGCACCTCCTGTGCCGTACCGTCAGGGGCTTTATGGCTGAAGGAGTTTCTTCACCTTGGCCTTCTTGCACAGGTACAATACGGTTCGTGCTCGCTGGAGGAGTCTATATGTAATTATATATATAACCGTTCCAACGTGTAATGTATGCATATGCTTCTACATAGGTATGCACAGATTGTACGCTTCCATCCGCTTGCGCGTGTTCGTATGCGCTCAGCTCAGGAACCTTTTATCCGCTCACAATGCGATAACATTAACATGCATATTTTTCCGCGTAAAATTTTTGAGCGCTTATCCACCCATGAACAAAAATATGCTTTCACAAGTAACGAATGTGCGTCATGCGAAAACGAAGGAGAAAATGAAAATTAACGTGAAAATGAGTACGGAGTACGTCGCGCAAGATGGGGGGAACGTATCTTACGTACGTATGTTTTACATTTACATACATGCTATATTTATGTACATAATTATACACGTACAAATACATGCTTATATGCGTACGTACTTATAGCAAGTAAGTAATATATAAATGCTTAAATATCCATATATGTGGATTAAACAGGTTTACATATGTATATATGCATATACATAAACAGTTTGCTTGTTTTATTCATACTCTTATATGTTTATATTTATGTGATTTTTTTTTTTTTCTTTTTTTTTCCCTAATTTGTTTTTCTTGCGTTAATTTTTTTTTTTTTTTTTTTTTTACATATGCCTTAAGAATTCTCTATCTCTATATTTTTTGGGAATTTTTTTGTCATTTTGGGAATTTTGCCATTTTGACACATTTGGCATTTTTCTTTTTCCCTTATATCTTTATGGTATACACTGCCTTAGTGGAGGGAAAAGAAAAAAATGGTTTGACTTGGCCGGCTTTTCATTTTGCCCTTCTGCGATTTGGTCGTACCCGTCGGTTTTGCGGGATGTATTAACTCCCCAAACCGTATGGGCGTTGCGCACGTACAAAATTGTGTACGGATAAATGTACGTATAAAACATACGTATGCAAAACGCGACGCATACGTAGGTTTTAGATGCTGCCAATTCGCGCGGAACAGAGCGGTTTTATTTTCATTTTATTTTACCGCCCCAGGCCCCTTTTTGGTGACCCAACGACATGCAAAAAGGCGTACCAAAAAGGCGTACCATAAAGGCGTACAAAAAAGGCGTACCATAAAGGCGTACAAAAAAGGCGTACCAAAAAGGAGTACCGAAAAGGCGTACAGAAATGAATGCCAGAAGGTATACCAGAACGGGTTATTATACCCCCAAATGTATCGCGCGCATACGCAACTAAAAGGGCATGTGCCTTTATATTTACACGCATACACTCGTCGTCTCTATGCGAAAGCGCGTATTTTCGCTGACAACCCTATCCGCTTCATTTTATGCGCCAAGGAAAGCTGCCTCAACTCAGCGGTATAGTCACAAGTCAATTTCGCTACATTTCCTGGCGCGCGTAGGCTGGCAGGTCGGAACGTGTTTTCCGCGCGCATTTTCCCCCCGCTTTGCTACGCCAACGGTACATGCATGTGTTCAGGCCAACCTCTCATATGTGCCATCCACGCGGGAGTGCTTCCCCCATTTTGTAGAGCATCATAGTCGTATAAATAAAATATGTCAGGGGACAAATACGGTGGGTGAAGTAAGCCCTTTCGCCTCCACGGCTTGTTCGCGAGCAACGCTAGGGTTGTCAGGTTTGGCAGATACTTCAGCATACACCGCTAACATCTGTAGGCGCAAGAGTCGTGTCAGGGTGCGAATTTTAACCCAAAGGCATGTCCCATCGGCAGGCTTTTCTCACCATTTACGCTAACGCAAAGGAAATGTATATGTGATGCGCAGTAAAATTTAATCCTGTGTTATTGATTCCCGAACGTAACCATCAGAGTGACAGAATTCTGTTAACCCCTTTTGAAATGCATATACCAGCGACGCGGCATATTCAGGTGCGGATAAAAAACACACCCGTATATTGGTGTTCCATGTATGTACCTTTTTTATCCATTTCGGTTATCCCCCATGTAGAAAAATACGAGGGAAATGCGATGGTCAGGTCGGAAATTATATCCCTTGCAACTCCCCTGCAACAATGCTAGTAGGGACCGACGAGCGAAGGTGTACTCAATCCCTTTGCCGCATCTTGAAAAACGATCACGGGGACCGAGTGGAAAGATATACCCATTTTTATAAACCAACGTGTAGCAGGTATTATCTATCCCCATTTTTTTTGCGGCCTATTATCACCATTTCCACTCCAGATGTTTGGTGAAAAAAAAGGGAAGAAATTATCTTCATTTTCCAAGTGCATCAAAAAGGAACAATACACAAAGCACATCCACATCTTCACTTCCTCACGTCAGCAAAACACCTGCGCGCAATTTTTCTCTGAGCAGAGATCCCCACGAGAAGCTTCCCTACCTTCCAAACTATACATTTTGCATCGAAAGATAATGCACATAAAGGTTGTCACCTGCGATTACCTTTTTTGTAACAAATGTTCCAACGACCTTACGCCGACCCAATTTGTAACCCCGTTTGAAAACACCCCTCTCCTTCACATGGCAAAGTCAGACGTGTGCAGACACGTAGGGTTTAAAAAAAAAAAAAACATAACATAGCATAACATAGCATAACATAACATAGCGTAACATAACATAGCATAACATAACTCGGCCTAACGTATGCTGCGCCGATGCACCTCTGTACGTGCAGACGTACAAACCAAGGGAGACATATCTCCGCCTTCTCCTCCCTCGTACAAGCAGCGTTAAGAACAGTTAGCACACCAGAAATGCCCAAAAGTAGCAAGTCCAAAGGAACGACCTGTGTGCGACCTTAGGTGGCGCATTTTGCAAAACGTGACGAATTACTACTTACCATAATGGTGTCATTACAACGAAAAAAAAAAAAAAAAAGTTGTCCTATCTTTGTTAGCAAAAAAAATTAATTAGTAGAGAGTAGGGGAAAGAAAAAACAAAGTGGCTGTATTGCGCCTGCTTTGTGCCTTCTTTTTCGTGGCATGCTTATTCCCCCTTCTCAATTGTGAAGGGCATGAACAAAAAGGCGTTTTGTTTTTTTTTTCTCTGCATTTCTGGAGCACTTCTTTTCACAGTTTAAAAAAGAAACACTAATTAAGTGCTAGTAAAACAAAAGTAAAACAATAATAACGTGGTTCATTAAAAAGCAACAGGGTATGGTTTACAGTCGGATGCATAAAACCTTCACATAGATCTCAAATCTGGATCATAATAATGAAACACACACGTACATGCACAACGTAGATCGAAAAAAATGTGCATTTGCAAGAACTAGTGCGCGGGGAAGTCTGCACATGCACGCCCCAATGTGGCTATCTCAATGTAGCTATCTCAATGTGGCTATCTCAATGTAGCTATCTCAATGTGGCTATCTCAATGTAGCTATCTCAATGTGGCTATCTCAATGTGTCTATCCCAATGTGTCTACCCCAATGTGGCTACCCCAATGTGAACATCTCCACACATCGCGCCTCCGCCGCACAGCTGTCTCACTTCTCCTCGTAGTCAGCTATGCCCCCCTCCGTGATGGCGAACACGGCCTCACCCTCCGGAAGCACCGGCGAATCGTATATTTTGCAAATCCTGCTTTCGCCTCTTCCCTTTCGCAAGTAGAGTCGCGTCTGGCTAGCATGCGCTATGATGTTCCCCCCTATCGGGATTTTCTCATGCCCTCCGAACATGCTCATCGCATCGACCTTCGCCACCACCTGGTTCGTTATGATAACAGCAACGCCATAAATATCGGCAATTCTTTGTAATCCTCTTAAAAACCTGCACAGGTGGGACTGCCTACTGGCTAGCTCACCTCTACCTATGTATTCCGATCGATACAACGCCGTGGCCGAGTCCACAATTAACAAAGCAAACCTGGTATCAGCCATCATTGCACTTGCATCTATCAATAATTCTGTCTGGTGGTCACAATTGTACGCCTTTGCATAGGCTATATTATTTAAGCAATCGGTTGGGTGCAACCCGTATCTCTTGGCTATAGCTACAATGCGTTCTGGACGGAAAGTTCCTTCTGTGTCTATCCATAGGCATTTGCCTTCTCCACCGGATTGCTCGATTGGTAACTGGCACGTTATAGCTAATGTGTGACATAGCTGACTTTTCCCTGTACGAAATTCTCCAAATAATTCCGTTATCCCTCCAGTTTCTACGCCACCCTTTAGTAAAGAATCTAACTGCTTCGACCCCGTTGTGAATTTGATTAAATTTTGCCTGGCATCATGATAATCAATGGCATTACAGAAGCCAGAGTTACACAATTCTTTACATGCTTTTTTTAACTTCTCCGCCTTTTGTTCACTTATGCCTTTTATTGCACATAACGTGCGCATAGGAGCATACGCTACGCACTCCACTGTCTGTAGTCCTCCTTCCTTGAGTAACTCCAAATCCCTTTTTACGAATCCCTTCGCCAGTAGCTGTTCAATCTTTAGGGGCCCTGAGTACAGGTGCTCCTCTTCTATTTCGTCCACAGTATTGTTATTCGGAATTTTGTGCGTCGCATCTTCCTTCGGGTTGGCCGGTTTCATTGTTAGACATAAAGGGGGGGGAGAAGAAGTTGTCCGCGGGGGGAGGTGCGCGCGCGGGTTAAGAAGTTAAACGAAAGTGATTAAAACTCAGCAAATTTGAGAAAAAATATGCAAAACTACACAAAATTTAACAGCGCTGAATGAAGCAAAAATGAATGGTATGCCGCGCGACTGGCGCGATACTCCCCTTCGTGAGGTGAAATAATTTTCAGTTCCCGCAGAGAACTGGGCGACAGGCTACACAAACGGAAGCAGTCGAGACCCCACGTGATATAATTTCCCATGGAGTTTCTTCCCCCTCCTTAAAGGAAAAGCTTCTCCCTCCTTTTATTCTATTTACCATTCACCAACTGTATACTCTCTTTCGTCACGTTCAAAATGATGATACAGCAAAGTTAATTGTCAACTCATCATGAACACATACGCTTAACAATGGTTGGCAAAGGAAAAAGAAAAAACAAACTTTAACGTTGTAAATAAAATTAAAAAAACGTGCGATTAAAATGTTGACAATAACGTAACACTCCAATGTTGAAAATAATAATAAAATAAGGGGTGTAAATTAAACAAAGCAAAATGAAGCAAAAGTATGACGCAATCAGAAGGCATACAGAAAATGGAACAGCTATTTTTCATTTTTTTTTTTTCTTTTTTTTTTTTTTCTTTTTTTCCCCATTTTGAACATTTATGCAAAATATACCTGACTTGTTCAGAATTTTGTTCTCAAAATGGAGTTTCACTCTCGAACACACATGCGTTTTCCACTAAATGTGTAACTTCTCATCCGTTTTGTTCAGAAAGAAAAAAAATGAAGCGAATTGAAATGTTGCATGGCTAGCACTGTTCAGGCTTAAGAGTGGAACAAAAATCAAAACGGCGTGTAAGAGTTTTTTTTTATTGCTTCACTTTATTGAACGTAGAACGGGTATGCAAATGTAGGGGTAAACGAACGCTCCACTGGAGTGTAAAATGACCCCTAATAACGGTTTATTTTGGGCGCTTTTGCCGAGAACCTATACACATGCTGGGCATACACGTTCATTTGTTGCGTAAATTGTGACGTGTACGGGGAGACATACCAATTTTGCGCAGTGGAAGGCTTAAGGGGTTAAATGCGCGTCACTATATGAGTACCAGCAGACGTATGTGTACAGATATACACACACACAGAAGCTTGCACAAAGTGGAAAATGTTTTCTTTTCCATCGAAGGAAACGCAAAAAAGGGGGTTTACTTAAACGAATCCGTTGAATTGGCTAAATCGGATGAATAGGTTGAGTCGATGAATCTGCAAAGCCGTCCACCGGCTGAGGCACCCTTTAAGAGATCTTCGAGACAGGTCAAGCCAAATTTGAAATAGCTCTCATCAGCTGCAGTACCGGAGAAAGAAAGAAACAAAAACTTGTCATCATTATAAACACGCGAACTTAAACTAAAATGTACTATTCATAAAAGCGCACAGTGAGGAATGGAATTCTCAGCGTAATTACTATTTGTATGTGAGCCTTGACCCGCGATATCTGCTTGTTCCAGTAGGCCACTTTGCTGCAAAGGGGTGCAAAGGGCACATCATTGTTAGGGGGGTAGCGAAATGGCTCGTAAAAAAGGTGAAAACTATTAAAAAAAAGCACCTCCCCCAGGGTACATAAAACGTTTCATGCATAATCCGGATGTAGACCCACGCGTCTACACTCGTGTAACATCTCTCTGCCCTCACTCCTCGTAAAGATTTATCTTCTTTTTCAAGAATACGATGGCGTCCTCGAGGGACATCTCCAAATAAAACTCATATCCTATTTGGATGAAAATTTTGTTCTTGTCTAATCTGCCCATGGGGGAAATGTTCGTGCGGCATGTGTGATGGTATAGATAGGTAATACTCCGGTGAGGTAATACGCAAATTCTGCGCGAGTGATTGAGTGTATGCCCCAAAAGTGATGACACACACATGCGGGTTCCTTCTCCGCATATATTCTTGTAGAGCAACGACGGACGTGCTCCCTCTGGGTCGTCTCTTCGTCCCCTTCTCTCGCCCCTTTCTCCATTCATTACATATCGGCATAAACGTAACTGTCGCATCCCAGTAAGGTAAGCGTCTCGATTTCCTTCTGATCCTTCATGTTAATGAAAAGTTTAAGATTTTCAACGAGGATTTCCCTGGGGGGGTAACGTGTCGCCGATGTTAGCTAAATGTGCTGGGGGTTAGGCCAATCGGGCTAGACATATAAGCGGCCATGCTATGCATTTTCATATCGGGGGATGCATCCCCCTAAGTGAAAATGGCACTCAATGTGAATACAAAATAAATGCAAACGTATGTGGGGTGTATGCGCAAATGGACAGATCATTCCGCCTCAGGGATGAAGGGAGCTTTTCATTGGCTAACTCACATGTCAAAAATGTCCTGGAGAATCTCATCCCTCCTTTTTTGTCGTTCCCTAAGTTTCTCGTGCAGCACATCATCGATAAAACTTTCGCTCTTCAGAATTAGCTTTTTAAAATCCTCTCTATTTTCCTCATTTATTGCAGCGTTCCCTAATGCTTCGTAGAAATTCATTTTGCTTGCATTTTACTCTTTTGTGGGCTCCGAGTGGGTGGGGTCAATTAACTTGTTCGACGTGGCGTGGCCAAAAAGGATCAATGACAAATGGGAAAGGAAGACCAGGGTGTATACACCGTTAACCACAAGGTAGCGTTTTTTTTTCCTGTGCGGTTCCTTAACTAACGCGCTAGTCCTATGGTGTTGCGCCGCTTTTACGAAGCTACTATTATTTTACCGTCACGTTCAGCGCCACCCCTACCTCTCTTTGCACTCTGTTTACACTTTTTTTCCTTTTTTTTTTGAATTAAAAAATTTTACGTTTTTACCAAAATGGGCTCTTCTTCAAAAAGGGAGAAGATCAATAAAGAGTGTTGCCCGACTGTCACATAAAAAAAAAAAAAAAAAAATGAAATCAACGAAACCTGCCTAAGGTTGGGGCGGGCACAGGAGAGGAAACGCCACGTTTTGCAAATAGGTCGAAGTGGGGGCGGGGAGGTTATTATAAAAACGGAGTGCATAAATTTGGGGGACCTATCTAATACTTTCCCAAAATTCCTGACACCTTTCTATAGTTCAGTGCGAGATGTATGGAATCCTCGAGGAAACTCCCGCTTAACACGCATGGGCAGCGGGTGGAGTGGCGAAACAGAAGTATACATATGGCGCCGAAGTGGGGGCCTAAAATGAAACGCCAAGAAAGACACCCACATGGTGCCGCTCTGGCTACCAATTCGATACGGGAGGGAATAAACTACTAAAGTGACTCACTGCACAGTGTGAGAAAGGGAAATAAGGCCAATCCTGCGCGTCACCGGAAGGGCGCCTCAACACGGGGTGTGTGCCAAATGGAACCCTCCGCTGCGCCGCTCTCTGTTAGTTGGCGAGCCACTCGAGCAGCACCCCAATCAGCTTGGCGTACGCCTCATCTGTGGCGTCCAAGCCACGCAGCTTGTTCTCAATGCTGACGAGCCTCCTCTTGTAGGAGGCGCAGCTCTTCCGCAGAGTTTCATACGGCTTCTTCGAGTTGTAAAGAGAGCCACCATTTTTTACTGCGTTTTGAAATTTTAGCAATTCCTGAAATCGCTGCTTCTTTTCAGAATTTTGTATTTTCAGTATGCCCTCGTAGATGTCACACTGTCTGTTCATATTTAGGAGGTGTGTCTTCTCCTGATGTGCCTGATTTGTGAGCTGGTCATACGATTGGATCAGTTCGGTTAAGTACTTGGTGAGGGACACCTTCTTTCCTTTAACCTCCTTAACATTTTTTTTAACAAAAGAAATTTCGTTTTGTATTTTACAGGAGACATTAACTCCGTTGTCAAAATTTTTTTGGAAATCTTCTTTCTTATTGTCGAGTTCGTTTCGCTTGTTTAGTGCCTGTTTGATATTCGCGAGGAGAATATTTTGCTGTTTTTTTGCATTTTCTATGAGATCATTTTTCGCCTGTATGTTTTTCTTCAATAGGAGGATGTCTTTATTTTCCGTGTACTCTTTGATAACCCCTTGTAGCTTTTTTTTTTGTTCAATTTTGTTTTCCAAAAGAAGAATTTTATTTTCATAATGTAGGAGGTCTTGTTGGTATTTTTCTTTTTCACTTTTTAAGCAGTTGATATCATTTTTTAAGTTTTCCTTTTTCCTCTTATATTCCTCAGCTTTGATATTTTTTTTTTCATTCCACCTGAGCATGTCGTCTTCCATTTTGTTGATTTCTCCCAGTGTGTCGGAATTTTTGGAGGCGAACTTTTCCAGCTGTAACCGTATGTACATAATATTTCTATTGATTTTTTTAAGTACATTTTGTGCGTTTTTGGAATTTTCCTGGAGTTCGCATTTCTTCTGATTCAGAATGAGTCGTAAGTCTCTGCCCCTGAGCATTTCTTCGTTCATTTTTTGGTTCTCATTTTGTATTTTTATCATTTCGGATTGTTTCAAGAACCAGTCTTTTTCGAGATCTCTGCTCTGCTTGAGTACCTCCCTTATCTGTTTGCTTAGCTTCTGTATTTTTATGTTTAATGTGAGAGGCATTCCATGGTCATCGGAGTTTTTTCTATTTTTCTTGTCAAACTCTTCGTTCAGTCTGTCTACCTCGAGTTGCTTGTTTTCAATTAAGTAATGATTTTTCTTTATCACATGGTCATAGTTCTTTAGCAGTTGATGTTTCTCCTCAAATTCTTCATTTAATTTTTTTACCTTTTCTTGCACATTTTCTATTTTTATACTTTCCAGAATCTGTTGTATCTTAATTCGGATGATACCATTTTTATAGTTTTCAATTTCGTTTTCCTTTCTTGTTATGTTTTCCTTCACGTTGGCCAGATCGCTCTTGAGTTTGGAGGAAAAATGACTCACTTTAATTTCTTCTGTATACATATTGATTATTTTATCGATATTTTTGTTAATGTCATTTTTTACGATCTTTATTTCGTTTTCTCTGTTTCGTATCTCCTTTTTCAGTTTTCCTATTTCTTCGTTTATTTGTACACACTTGTCTCGCTCATTTTGTATTTCCACTTTGACCTCTTTATTGTGCTGCACAGTAGTGTGCACTTCCTTCTGGACGTTTCTTCTCCCCTGTATAGTCCGTTCCGTCTCGTTTTTGAGCGCCCCAAGCTCGGACTGAAGCTTTTCCTTTTTCTCCTTCTCCGTTGTAAGATCCTTTGTCAGGACATCCTTCTGTATGTCCATATCATATATCGTTGACTTTAGCTCCATCAGTTTCGTGTTCATTTCGTCAATTGCTTCATCCCTCTGTTTCATTTCGTTGATCGAGCCGTTTAGCTCCTTCAGCATGTCATGCCTCCCCTTCTTTAACTGTCCGTACTGTTCCTTCTCTTCCCTTATCAGTCTTTCCAAATTGGCATATTCTGTCTGCTCGTTCTTTTCGATGTCTTTCTTTGTGTCGATGTCGTTTTGTATTTCGTTCAAGTCGTGGTTCATCTTGTTGAGAATATTTTCCTTCTTCTGTATGGCTGACTGGGTTCCCAGGAAGGACTTCTCCACAGGGGGCTCTCCCTCACGCGCGCTCCCCTGCAGGGAGGCGGCCCCCCCTTCGCTTGTTACCTTCCCCTGCATCTTCTGCCGCCCTGCCCCCAACACATTTTCACTAATGCGGGAAGTGGCGTTCACCAAATCGAAGTACCTCCTCAAATTGTTCAGTTCGAGGAGGCTGTTATTAAATTTGGTGAAGACATCAGATTGGTAATTCAGCTCTTTCTTCAGGTTTGCCATTTGCTCATTGTAATTTTCTTTCAATTCATTTTGCTTTCCCAGCTGCTTCTCCCTCTCATCTTTCATGTTCTTTATCGCCTCACTTAACTCTTGTTCCTTTTTATTTAAAAAATCGTTTTCTTTGTTTACTCGAAACAGTTCTACTCCCGCGTTTTTTACGTCTTCCTCGAGCTTACTCCTTTCGTGGAGCCTCACCCTTAGCTTTTCCTCCAAAATGTGTTTTTTCTTTTTTAGCTGTTCGTGTAGAATGTCTTTCAGGTGTTCCAGTTTTTCGCTTCCCCCTTCGTCAGGCATCGGAGTCGCGCCGTTTGTCTCTTTCACTACTCTCTTTTTACTTGACCACTTCTTCTCTTTACGCTTCATCTCCAGGTGTTTCCCCTCCGTCGAGGATAAAAGATCGTCTGTTTTTCCCCCCTTTAGTGGGCCCTTCCAATGTGTATTATCCTCACTGGTTGTTTCTCCCCCCGAGAGGGTCACATTGACGTAGCCTGTTTGTTCGTAGCCATTTTCGTCGTGGGGCTGATCGGATGAAAGGGATTCCTTTTCGAGACCAGAACCTGGTTTGCTCAAAACAGTGGGTCCATCCTCCTTACGCGTTAGTTCTCCCGTCCCGATGTGCACATCCCTACCTGGGATGTCATCCCGCTTGGAGTCAGCACCCACCCTTTTGAACACCTCTCCAATTGCTTTCCCCTCCCCAGCGTGTTCTCTACATTTGTCAAGGGAGGAATCTACGCTAATATTACTGTACACTGTATTCGATTTGAACCAAGTTTCGTCAATCACTTTCTTATTTTCGATACTCAGAGGATGATAGTTCGTCCCACTATTCCGAACTTTCTCATCATTATATTTTTTTCCTTTTTGTTCTCTTTGCACATTCTTCATTTTTCATCATGAAGAAATCGTCTGTCTGTACGAACCATATTTGCCTCTCTCTCCTTCGCGGAAAAAAAAAAAAAAAAGAGACGCCACAATGTAAATTGGGAGAGAGACGAAAAAGAAAAGTGTCAATAATGGGGAAAATTCCTACCTCTTTGCAGCGGTTCTATAGACCCTCTTTCGTTCTCCCATTCTTTCTTTTTTTTTTTTTTTTTGGATATCCAAGACTTATTTTTGGAACCCACTTTATCGCAACAACGCAACGGGGTATTCCTCTCTGGAGAAAACCCTGCAGGGGAAACGTTCCCCTTTTGCATGCGCAAAAGGAGGGGGGAAGCAGAGAGGAATTGCCCTACCTCACTGCGGCCACATTGAGCCTCCGCAAAAAGGTAGACAAAAAAAAAAAAAAAAAAACCAAGGAGGCAGGCACGAACTGTGATGAGGAACCGCGTAATTTCTCAGCAGTGGTTTTTCCCACTGTTCTACCGGAAAGAAATTACCGACGCGTCCAAGCAAAACGGAGAAAGCCAGGTAGAGAGACGCTCCAAAATGAACCCCATTCTCATGGAAGGAAAAAAAAATATATATCACCGACGTGCCTGACATCAATTGTGTAAAAAATGGCATTTCGCACACCCGCTCTTTTTTCGCTGTCAATTATTTGCGTCGTGATCTCTTGCTGCGCGGACAGCAGCGCAGTTAAAGCAGCCCCAGTTTTTGCTTCCCCATTTGGGGTCCATCCGACCCGGAAAAATGATCCATCCGGTGGTCTGCTTACGGTTGCATGTGGGGACGCACTTCCGGCATGCACTGTCATCACACACGTGCAGGTGCTCCCTCCCCTTCCAAATGGGTAAACTGCTAAATCGTCAAAGTCCCTCCACTTTGGCTTTAAAGACGATGCAAAGGAAGGTTACAAGAAGGGGAGCATCTCTACGAAGATAAGAAAAATCCTTTGTGCTCCCCAACACAAAGAGAGAAGCTTTGTTTTGGAGAAAATTACTACTCGACCGTAAAGCACAGCGAATGGGGAAAAACCAAATGTCCGCATTCGCATGCGCTGATGTTCCTATTTTTCATATCCAGAAAAACGACCCAGTGATTACTGACTGATCACGGGGATGGACGGGGGGGAGAATCGGCCCCCATTGGCGATTTCTCATATGTAATTCCCCCGTCATTTTCCCCTCTCACCAAGTGAGGACATAGGAATGTTCTATGGGCATATGCAACTATGTTCAGTTCATGTCCGTCCATATGTCGTGGGGGAAATAAGCGCCAAATAAAAAGGGAACATCAATCATCCCTATTGATACGCGATTCTTATGATCCTCTAGAAGCTACATCATCTTAATAGAGGGAGGGAGGAATAAAAACTGGTAATAAGTTCACATCAACGTATAGAGGGTAGGATTAAAAAAAAATATTGTTGCGACGGGATTATCGCGTCGCTTGGCTATCCTCCAAATGGGAGTGTAAAACGGGGATGCACTTGGAAGTGCCGCTTTCGTACTCTGCAAATGTATGCCGCGCTGGGGTTACTGAACCGAACCACTGCAGACACGACCGTTTCCCTCGCAAAAAAGAGGCACGCCAAACGTATTTTTTATTCACCGAAAGGATTGTTAACGCGGTATATATGCATAGAGGTACCAACGGGACAGGGGGTGAACCGCCAAAAATTGTGAAAACGAAACCATGGGCAGTGCATACGTACTTGTAGAAAGAGTCGGGAAAAAAACAAAAAAAAAAACAAAAAAAAATTGGCTGATCTGCGCTGAGTGACAATCTTTTCGGCAATCCCCAAATGTACCACTCCGTATGTTTTAAAAAATTCCCGCTCAGTTGGTGAAACGTTGCTAGGGGGTTCTTTATTTATTTATTTATTCATTATCTTTTTTTCTTCTTTCAATCCCCATCGTGTCATTCTGTACTCTTCATTTTTGTTTTTACGCCATAGTGAGCATCCTCCAGCGCGGCAGCCGTTTGGGAGCACACGAGGGGTAAATATACAGCCTATCCGTGCAGGGTTTCCTATCCCCCGCGTAGTCGTCCACTAGTTGTTGCATGCTCATCGTGTAGTCGTTGCCTATTCGCCCTGTAACCGCCGCTTAGCCACCGCCGCCCCTCCCAAGATGCATATCCACAAGCTACGCAAGAAGGCAAAAAAGAAGAAGGAGGGTAAGTACCTCACCAAGAGAAGCATATTGAAGAAGCTATACCTGAAGGAAGAGGAGTTCCAGAAACTATGCATCTTCAAAGGAATATACCCCAAAGATTTTAAGGAAATCCCATTAAAATTACGAAGCAAGTTTTACAAACAAAAGGTATACTACTCAAAGAATGACTTCCACAAATTGTCCCATGAAAAGATTATCCAAGATTTCCGAAAAATCACAACATGGGTGAAGAAGTATAAAAAATATAAAGTGGGATTGGAGGATGAAGAAAAATGTAAGAACTTAATAAAGAACTTCCCCCAATATACATTAGACCATATCATTAAGGAGAGGTTCCCCGTTTTTTCCTATGCAATAGAAGAACTGGACGATGCTCTAAGTGCAGTAGTTGCCTATTCGTTACTTCCTTCAAATGAGAAGATTGGCATTTTAAACCGCTTCGTTACTAACTGTGAAGTGATAAAGAATCACTTCCATTACTACGTTTACAAAACGAACAGAATTAAGAAAGGGTTCATCACTGTGAAGGGATATTACCTACAGGCCGAAATTTTGCAGAAGAAAGTTACCTGGCTTATCCCTCATACATTTACCCCTTACTTAGACAAGACGATTGACTTCTCCATCATCACCACGTTTATTGAGTACTACATTTCGCTGCTAAAATTTGTCCTCTACAAACTTTACAAAATGCACAATATGACCTACCCTCCCGAGCAGAGCGAACTGCTGAAAGGTGAAAAACTCAGGCATCTCTCATACGATGAGTGTCTGATTTCTCTCTGCAAGGAGATGTTCGGGAGTCAGAAAGGCCAACTGGGGGAATCCAACCAGGGGGAGGAAAACTCGCTTACACTGGATAGTGTCCCCCAAGTAGGGGAACAAGGCCAAAGTGAGAACCACCACGAGGGAGTGAAACCCCGCAGTCTCCCCTCAAACCAGCGCGAAGAAGAAGAAATAAAACACGACATAGACGAACAAAATGACACCCTCAAGGAGTTATTCAAAAATCAAGTATATTATATCCACACAGAGATGCCCCTCGACATACTCTCTATCATTATCCTCTCCTGTGGAGGTTCCATAGGATGGAATTCCCCCTACTCTCCTTATGAGTTGGGAGATCAGAGAATCACGCACGAAATTTTAGAACCCTATGGCCAAGGCAAACAAATGGGGCAGCAAAAAATGGAGAAGATGTATGTGCAACCTCAATACATATTCGACTGCCTGAACAGAAAAAAAATCCTCCCATGTAGTGACTACTCCGTCGATGTGAAAAATTTACCCGTGCATCTTTCTCCATTCATTGAGGATGACAATTTTAAAAACTTCGTAAAAAAGGAGGAATACGCGATTAACAAGCTGCTGAATGAAGAGGCAGAGAAAAATGGCCAGAACAGTGACGCAGAGGAGACAACAAACTGTGAACATGGTCAGGCTAATAAAGACGATGAATTGCTCAAATCAGACGATGAGATAAGTAAGGAAAAACTGATACTACTTAGAAATGCATGCTTAAATAACCAGATGGAGTTGGAAGATGAAGACAATTACGTTCCGGTGGGGGAGACCTCCATGGAGGCTGCGCAGAAAGCCAAAGAAATGCAGTCAGCCCAAACGAGGGAAAATATACAGAGACATAAAATCGCCCTCAGTAAAAAGAAGCGAAAGTTGTACACAAGAATTGAAAGAGCTGAAAGGAAACAAAAAATGACCCTTGACAAGTTTATTAATAAAGCCAGGGGGAAGAATCTACATGGGGGCGCAAAAAAAAAAAAAAAATTGACGCGGGGCAGGGATGAGGGGTCTACAAAATGAATGGAGAGATTGGCCCGCGTAGCCACCGCACAGTTGGTGAGCAGCAACTCCGCTTCGATGCACCGTGCACGGGGAAGTCATCCCGAGGACATGCTGCTGAGGATGCGCTTATCAGTGTTATCATTCCTGTGACTGTTTGTGTTTGTGTCTGTGTTTGGGTCTGGGAGGGGGGATGACGTGCGAAGAGCGGCGCCGATTTATCGGGGAAGAAGAAGAATAAGAAAAGGAAGCGTCCATTTGTTTACACAAGACGTAATTCTACGTATGCACGTACTTGTGTGTGCCCTTTTGTCTGGGCCAATCCAACGCACCCATTTGGCATGGCCCCTAACGACCTTGCAGCCAAAGCTAATCCGTAGATCCAGTGGATAATTATAACATAAGAATTGCCTGTATCGGCGAGCGCACACGCATATATGCATGGACATACACAGGTGCCTCTCCTCAGTGAGGCAGCGTAACTGCGCTTTAAAGAAGATAGAAGCTGATCACAATGGACGAAGGCAAGCCGCAGAAACGGTTCACCTTTTTGAGCGCATCGTGATATAGGCAAAGCGTAACTACGCACAGAGGGAGCCACAGACTGATTGACAAAGTGACCCACAAAATGTGCGCCTCCACGTGTTCTCTCTCAAGTGTACATTTTTGCGTCAACCCCTCTGTCACCTTTTCTTTTAACTTAAAAAACACTTTCCTTTTTTTTCCCTTCCATTTTCTCCCCAATTTGCTTCCTAAACGGTCGCTATTTTGAGGAAAAAATATACCCACATGTCTGACCACATGTGTGGGCCAAAATCTGGGCCATAAAATTCAACACGGAGTAATCTGTTTGCCCATTGGACCGTTTCTCCTTGCCTCTTAAAAGCGTCATGACAAAACTAGACGCCGAAGTAAACTGCCATGTTAACCTAGCTGGAACTTAAAAAAGGATCTGTTTAAAGGTACATACACAGGACAGTTTGCGCCTGCACCACGCGTGTACGCAGTCTGTGTATGCACGAACGATGGTACAAACACTTGCACAAAAAAAAAGGGGTAAAAAAAAAAAGGAAAATGACATAAGAAAGGTGGTAAAAAAAGAAGCAAAATGACCCAAGACGGGCAAAGGACAAATGGCGCAAGGTGGTAGACCCAAAACAAAGGCGCAACTTTCGAGTGAAAAAAAAAAAAAAAGAAACAAAAAAGCTACCAATGCAAGCGCAGATAAGCATGTAAATACAAACACATATGCCTGTCGCACGCCGCTTGATCGCTTCACCGCTTCCTCACCTTAGGATGAAATTTTCTGGTCGTCCGTGACGGACTCCAAAAAGTTGCTCACCGTCTGCGAGTCGATCGCAGGAAATTGCAAATTGCGGATGTACTTGTTGGGAAACCCAATAGAGTTGGACAGAACCCTGGAGGAGTTTACCGACTGCTTCTTCTTGTTGTTGTTCTCTGCCCCTCTGCCATAGGAGTCTCCGAGCGAATTGAAGGGGAGTTTGCCACTACCGTTGAGGGCGCTTTTCCTGGACGAGCTCCTTCCATCAGCATTATTATTACTGTCACCTTCCGCCCCGCCATTCAAACTTGAACCCAGAAGATCCACGGAGTTCAACGAGTCGTTATCGTTCTTCGTACACTCGTTGAAGCAGTTTATGTTGTCGTCCCCCTTGATGCAATCGCCAGCCGTCACACCGGCAGTTGAAACACACCCTGAACCTGCGCCCTTGCTGCCATTATTCCCACTGGACAGGTTTAACTTGTTAACCTTCTTTCCACCCCCCCCGGTTAAGATATGCGAATCGGGCAAATCGGGCAAACTGCTCACATCGGGCAAATTGTCCAAATTGCTCACATCGTTCAAATCGCTCAAATCGTTCGGCTCGCTCGAAATATCTCCCGCGAGTTTGTCGCTAATCAAGCAGACCTCCTCGTCGTCATTGGAGTACATCAAACTACTCTCTTCATTCAGTTTGTTTTCCTTCCCATACGATATGGACTCATCGCTGTTAGAATTTATCGAATGGTTGTTATTCCCCTTTGACACACTTTTAGCATTATTTCTGACCAAGCTGCTGTTAACACCATGCTGCTGTTGGGGACGCCCCTGCGGCTGCGCTTGTGGATGCTCTTGCTGCTGATGACCGGACGACTTTTTCTTCCCCTTCTTCACATCTGCGTTCTTCATATCGGTGTGGTGTCTGTATTCTTTTTCCCACTCTGTTCTCTTCAATATGGACAACTTTCTCGCTTCATTGTATCCGTACTTGCTCACACTGAAACTGGTAAACAGCCTCTTGTTATTGGCGATCTGGAAGTAGGCATTCCATTTGCCAACACCTCTAGGAGATTTAGAAAAATAGACTCCTTTCACTTTGTCATCATTTGGATTCACACCAGCAGGCATTTCATACTTTAACTTCCCGATGCCATAATTTGTTGATGCCACTGGCGTGACGGTGGAAGAGCTTTTCACGCTTTTAATATTTTTGCTTCCACCATTTGAGATATTATTCATTCCAATTGTCTTTCCATTTTCATTCTTATTACTATGTTTGTAGGGGCTCACACCTCCGGGTGCGCCACCTGGAGTGACAGAAGTGCTCAAGCCATCAGCTCCGGAAGATATTCCCCCCTCCATTTTGCCACTACCTAATAGCAGCTCGCTACTATTACCATTATTACTTAGCGACAACTCCGAATCGTTAGCACTTATCTTTGAATTATAATCGGCACTGAAATCGTAGCTGCCCTTCTTCTGTAGTCCGCTCAACGTCGCGGTGCTCGTGGCACTTGCACTCATGTTGTAGGCTCCCTTCATATTCATCTTGCCATTATTGTTATTACCACTACCGTTACGCTGATTCCCGCTTCCCCTCTCGTGCAGTTTATTCTCATTTCTATTGTTCCCGTTCGGGCTGTTCATCAGGAGGCTTGGTGGATGGTACAGCGAAATGTCCAACGATCCGCTGGAGCCACTATTTGTGTTCATTATAAAGTCGTACAATGTGCTGGGGTTTATGTGGTGATGCGGCAGTGATGGATGATGCAGGGGGTAATGATGATGGTGGTGAAGCATGTCAACGTCGCGCTCTCGATCGCGGTCCTTCCCATTCTTGTACGGTGAGGACGATTCAGCTGCTGTTGTTCCTCTCGTCGCTCTTCCTGCTACCCCCCCGTTGGCTCCCTTCTTGCCAAAATTCTCTTGCGACATGTTCAAAATGTCCTTGTAGTTTTTCACGCCACTCATGAAGTTATTCTTGTTGGCGAAGCTTCTTCTCGTATTCATGTGCGGGCCGCTATTCTCGTCCACGGAGTAATCGCTGGAATCCTTCTTCAAGAAGTCTAGCACTCCAAGCAGGCAACCGCTCCTTCCGGGCAGGTTAACTCGCGGTCCGCTATCCCCCACGCCGCTAACATCGCCAATGCCGCTGACATCGCCAACACCGCTAACACTGCCATCCTTCTTATCCTCCAACAAATTAAACTTCAACTTCTTCAGCACATTCGAGTTGCACAGGAGGTAGCTCAAGTCATAGCCCCCCATACCGGCTCCGTTGGCGTTCACCTCGCTTCCGGAGTTTCCATTCAAATCGGTGATCCCGCTCACCATGCCTCCATTTGCATTAGCCAATCGGTTTACATTCGCCCCGGAACCTCCTCCGCTGCGTTTCTGCATAGAGTGATGATTGTGATGGTGGTGCGCAGCAGACTGGTCCCTCAACTTCCTCTTCCTCATTAGGCTCTGGAAACTGTTCGATGAGAATGTTCCATTATTGTCATATCCGTTTAGGATGCCTCCTTTATTTCCCCTTCGTCCGTATTTCGTATAGGACTCTCTCTCGTCAAAGTTGTCCTCGTCACTAAATTTGTAATCCTGTAGAAATTTGTTCATGTCGTTGTTGACGCTCGAATCGAGCTTCAGCTTGTTGTCGTAAAAGCTCTTCGTATCCTTCGCGTCCTTCTCATGACCGTATACATCGTTGCGTGCTTTATCCTGCAGAGTATGAGGATGAAGGGGAGAAAAAAAAAAAATAAATAAGAGGGGGCGTCAAAAAAATGAATCAACTGCTAGCTACACATGGCGCATAAAAATGAGCACTGATGCGATCGCTGCGCTGCATGGACAGAAGCGTCTTCCTTCATTGTAACACTACACCATGCGAAGAAACTCACCTCCCATCCGCCGGATCCGCATAAATGCGCGTAGAAATAACGCAGAAAGTTCAAGTCACTGGGGGTTAGGTCGACATCCTTCAATTTGTCCCTCTCTGCACCGCCGCCCTTGTGCATATTTGCATACTCCGACATGAACGATTTAAAATGCAAATAGGCATTCACATTAGCGTTACCCACGTCGTGCAACGTAGACTGGCTGCACGTACTATACATGTTTTCACTCTCCTTCGAATTGAGCTTGCTCAAATTTTTGTATTTTTCCACCACCTTCTCGGCCTCCTGAATGTAGTTGTTACTATAGTCGTTATACGAATTGTAATCTATGCTGACATTCAATTTGTTCAAAATATTTTCATCCGTGTAGCTACATTTCTTCTTGCACGAGTTGGAGGCGGCACCGAAGCTGTTGCTATAACTTAGAGGGTTATTTCCGGCCAAACCTATCATGTTCGCGCTGTAGTTACTGCTCAGGGGGTTCACCTTGCTGTTATTGCTTTGATTGCTGTGTCCGTTATGACCGCTATTACCGCTCTGAGTGCTGTTCCCTGTCGTGCCGCTTCCCATGCAGCTGCTGTACATGTGCCCATTGGCGCAATTGACTGGGAGGGCGCTGGGGCAGGCGAAGTGGTTGCCATGAGAGCTGCATGCGTAACTAGGGAAGCTTCCCTCTCCGGCAAATGTTGTTCCGACGAGACCACCACATCCGACAGCTCCCGGTGTTGCCCCTACTAGTGACCCTCCAACGAGCGCCCCACCTCCGCAGGTCAGGAAGTCTTTCCCCTTTTTCAAATCGACGTTGCCACTAGAATCGCTACAGACTTTGTGGTTACCATCACCCTTCTTATGCGCAGAGCCGTACAAGGACAGTACGCTAGACTCTCCATCGGCCACATGAGGAGACACTGTTGATATGACATTAGTCACAGCGCTGTTCCCATGGTAGGTGCTGCTGAAATAGGGATTCCTGAGGGACAAGTCCTGCATCTCGTCGACAATTTCTTTGGACAAGTTACTCTCTACTTCATCGATGATCTGTTTTAACATTTCATTTTTACCATTTTTATTTCCACTTGAGGAAGAAGAACTGAAGGAAGTGCTCTTGTCATACAAGCTACTCTCCTCCTTGCCCTGCACGCCTTTTAACTTCCTTATTATCTCCAGCTCGTCAATACATTCCGCAATCGAATCAAGAAACAAACTTTTCGCTGCAGATATTTTTATGTTTGAAAAACAGCATAGGTACAAATCCAAGTTATTCATTTCGACATTGTTCAGGATATTAACAAAATGATATTCGAAGGACTTGTTCGTTTCACTCCAGATGGAGGTTAATCGCTTCAATATACGTAGGTAGCTGAGACAAATAATTTTTGACTTCCTTATGCTTTCACTTTTGCTGAGGGCTTCTTTGCTGGCCATGGCGTAGCCCCCGTGGATTCCTCCGCTAGCGAGGTTGCCAAAGGAGGTACTTCCCAAAAGGTTACTCCCGACGAGGTTACTTCCAGCGTTGTTGCTTCCCACGGCGCTACTCTCGACGCAGTGATTAACAAGGGTCTCCCTATGGCTGAGGCAGGCACTCTTCCCAACACCGACAGGAGCAGGGACAGCAGCACTGACATCACCACCATGCACAGGTGCCGGGATGGCCCCTCCTACAGCCACGCTTCCGCAGGGGAGTGCACCTCCCGTGGAGGTATTCACAATGGGCGCAGTGTCATAGCCATTGCTAACCACATGTCTGCTCTCCTCTGCAAATAATTTGTCAAATTGAGTGTTCACCCCCTCTTCCCCTTTAATGCTAAAGAGGTTATTTATCAGGGCAAGTGTCTTATTCTGGTCAATTGGGGAAGGAGGTTCATTTGAACTCTCCTTCTGCATTAAGATATCTTTGATTAATGAATTCTTAAAATGCTCGTTGCTGTTCCTTTCACTGTTTTCATTCTTCAACTGCATCTCACTGTTAAATTGCATTTCATCGTTAAATTTATCATCCAGGTTATTCTCCCTTTCATGCTCTTCCTTAAAAATGGAATTCTGCGATTTCACTTCCTCCTTGCTGTACACGCAGCTGTCATTGATTAAGGACTCTTCGAATCTTTCCTTCGATTCTTCATCTTTGCACATTTGATTCCTACCTTCGTAGGCGTTTCTACTCTCCTCGCACGGATTGGGCTCACCATCGTTTGGCTTCCCTTCGTCATATGCGGGCGACGTTCCGTTTTGGAGGCGTGGCTCTTCTGCATACGACCTTGCACTGACTCCCTCCACTCTATCATTCTGCTTGAGGGGTGACGTCCTCAGTTCGTCGTCTTCTTCAGCCTCGTCCGCTTGGACCTCCATCGGCCTTCCCTGAGCGGGCTCCTTTTCAAAATTGGGGGCAAACTGCTCCCCTCCCTGACTGTCACCATTGCCCTCGCTAACATTATTCCCCACGTTGATGATTCCATCCTGTGGAGAAGACATACTCTGCAGGGCCTTACCGATTGGGAAGTTCGGCCACTTTTCATTTACACCGGATTCTGTCACTCCGGAATTGAGGTTAATCTCCGCTTCATCCTTCTGCTCACCATTAAGAGGGTACTTATTACTATTGACACTTCTGGTCTGTCTCGTCAGTATCCCTTCTTCATTCTCATCGTCATTCTCGTTTATATGTTTGGCTAGCTCATCCTCATCATGAGATAACAGTGTTGATGATTTCGCAATAGGGTTAAAAATCCCTTCTTCCTCATGGACACTTTCCATGCTGCCAATGTTAATCTGATGTGGGGTGGTAGTTCTGCTGATTGGATAAACTTGTGTCTGTTGCTCCGCATAATCCATGTAACTTTCTATTTTGCTTAATGGATTTTCATTGTACAAATTCTTCACTTGGCCATCTTCCGCTTGTTCGATCTCCCCCTTGACGCTGGTGGGTCCCTTTCCATTTCCATCCACCTCAATGGGTTGCTTCCTGCTGCTGTTAGAGCTACTTCTCAGCAAGAACATTGGCGAGGGGATTGGTTAGACGGAAGGGGGGGGGAAAAGCGCGGGATTGTCCGCCAAATAGAAAAAAAAAAAAAAAACAAGGAGGGAGAAAGCACAATAGCCAAGTCTATCAAAAGGATAACTAAAAAAAATACGACGAACGTGGAAATGAAATACCCGCACGGATAAAAACAAAACACACGAACGACGTTAAAACAAAACACAAGAATGCGAGTTAACCGCTTATGAGGCCAAGAAAAAAAAGAAAAATTGAAAAAACAAAACTACAGCTTTGTGCAAAATTGTCGAAAAAAATACGTTTAACTTAAAAAATAAATTTAATACATAGTGATTCACGCGTGTATTCTCCTTTGCTAGAGGCCGTTGCATGAATGGATTTATTTCCTGCGTCGATTGTCTGTCTAGAGTGTTTTCCTCAACGGATGGGGATTGAAAGGGCAGGTGCACAGATAAAACGTTCTAAGCAGGGAGTTACACTCCTATGTATGAGCACGCACGCGCTTACTTATTACACCGTTTGATGCAATTTTTAAAGAAAACACATGCATTAAAAAATGACAAAAAAATGGAAAAACAAAAAGACAAAATGGGAAGTTACAACGCTGAAAAAAAACAAAAAAAGAAAGACAATCTTAATTTTTACAACATGTACATATAGACAAGGTCTATGTACACTTCAAAATTACTGGGAAAAAAGAAGAATACACACTTCTTTCTTCAAAAATAGCTACCCAAAAAAAAAAAATACGCACTCCTTTGTACAAAAATAGCTACTCAAAAAAAAAAATAAATAAAATTGCATGTCAAAATGTTGGAAAACTACAATAATTAAACAAAAGGAAAATTAAACAAAATGAGAAATTAAACAAATGGGTGATTAAACAAAAGGGGGTTAAACATGACAAAAAATAAAAAGGGCACAAATTAAACAAGCGCACGAAATAGAGCGCACTGAAACAAGCAACAATGAAACAACGCAAAAAAAGCAAAAGAAACGAAAGCAAGGTATGATAACCGCGAACCAACCCAAAACACATCGCAAACAAACAAGCGACGAAGCACGCCTACGGTTATGCACAAAATGGCTGCACGCACGACTAACAGAACATACTCCCGAGCCTGCTTCCTTCTGAGAAGTCCTTAAGACGGGGCTACAGCCTAATGTTGCCTGTGTCGCCTAACGCGTCGCGTCCCGACTCCGCTCAAGAGTGCATCTGCGTTTTAGCACATACACAAGCGCTAACAGGCACACGCCAGCAAACAAATTGGTAAATAAAATACCGCGCACATATAAATACACATGCGTCTATATACGTATACATGTGCTCAGCTCCACAAAGGATTGCTCTTAAAAACAGCTACCGATTGACAGCCACTCACGCGTGCTGGTCTACTGGGCTGGTTTCGCAGAGCTCAACTTTTTTAATCAAACTTCACGCCACCTGCCCATGCAAAACACACATGTTACAAAAAAACACATAACTTCACAAATCTTCTACGCGATATAAGGCTTAATTACTCAAGATATGCGAATCGTTAATTTTTTCCTTCTTTTTTAAACGAATTTAAAAAAGGGTACAGCGATGAAGCACGCAAAATAGGGTAAAAAGAAAAAAGAAAGGCAGAAAGAGAAGAAAAAACACCAAAAAACAGCAAAAAAAAAGCAAAAGAAAAGAAAAGAAGAAGAAAAAAAAGAAAAAAGAAAAAGTGGAAAATACGAAACAGCGGGAAAATGGGTCCTTTAATTGTACATATAAAAATAATATTTAAAAAAACCGGGTTCAAAAAAGCATTAAACATTCGCCTACAGTCCGAACACGCAGGCAGAGGGTTGGGGCCCACAGATCTACTTGTTCATTAATTCACAGGGGGTGCAGAAAATGGAAAAAGGTAATAAACAAACATTTGCGAGTAGCTTTTATACAACACTACACGCGCGATACAGTGCTGGTATTTTCTACGCGAACCGATGGAGCGTGCCACTCTCATAACATATATATATTCCCACTCTACTGCATACTATGCATTATTTTGCCTGCCGTGGCGGCATTGCATTAACTCCACATGGCGCAAAACTCACGCAAAAAGGATTACAATTTTAGGAGGTATTCTCAAAACATAAAAAAAAATAATAAAAAAGGACAGGAAGGAAAAAAAAAAATTCACTTTTTTCGTAAGTATAAATATATGTCCTTAAGTACCGCAAAAAGAAAAGGTTATCTTTTCTCCTCAAATGTATTTTTTCTTTCTCTACGCAGTTGGAAAAATATGTATGCGTGAGGTTAGAGGAGGTACACTATATAAATATGCTTATATCTACGCGGCCTGAACTACAGGTATGTTTGCCCCACTTGTTCGCGCGCATACAAAAATGAATGATACCGTGGGTTTTCTCCGCGGCTGCGACAAACAAAGTGCGAGGCGTCAGGGGTACCACGTGAATGTACATAGGAACAGATGTACATATGTATACAAATATGTAGACATATGTACATATGTATGACTAACCATGCATACGCTGCTAGCTAGCCTCCTCCTCGTTCATACAAATTTTGGGGGACGCAAAAAAGGGGAAACCAAAAATAAAGGGGTATTTTCTATAATATAAATTAACTGCATAATATGTATCCCATTTAGTGACTCATATACGTCACTGGCGAAACAAAAAAAAAAAAAAAAAAAAACAGGAGGGAAAAACTTCAAGTGGGATTCGTTTATGTAGAATTATCTCACATAGTAGATTAAAGAAATGTATGTATGTACAATGTATATACTCATGTATACATACAGGGGGTGGGGTGGGGGAATTATACATATAATACATGGCATATATTGACAACTCATATAAATATATATGTATATATACGTATGTGATATATATTTTAAAAACAAGGGAGAAATGACGAGCATAGAAAAAAATATATCTTTCGAAAAATAAAAAATAAACAGAATGGTATAAAATATTTTCAGGAATACGCCCATTCATATCAAATTAATTCGGCCGCAATCAAATTTTACATATGGTCACATAATATATATGACGCGCTCGCTCGCTCGCTGGCCCGTCCGATCGCTTGCATGTATGTACCCTGCGGTATTGTGTGTATTGGCTCCTGACATATACATAAATACATATACCAAATTCATACATGTATTTTTGTATTCCCCTGCCGTATTATATACCGCGCTGGAAATAAAATAATAGGTATTTCGCATACGCTCCCATGCACATATATAACTACGACATGCAGCGCGTCGCATGTAGCATATACGATGTAGCAGCGCGTAGCATTTACGCATAGACCGCGCATGTAGCGCTAGTGAGCCACCGTCGCTAGGTGCACTTTCGTATTTTTATGCGTTGTTGCGCGTGACTTTGGCGCAATTTCTCCGCTGTGCTGTGCTTCTTTTCTCGATACCTTGCTCTGCGGTTGTTTTCTTTTATTTCCTGTCCTCTTCAGTGTATTATATATAAATAACAGAAAAAATAGGAAACAATAAAAGAATGAGCGAAAGCTATCAAATTTTTAAATAGAAAATGAACGAACTCAAGGGGTTCGAAAAAGAAAAAAAATAAATAAAATAAAGTAAAAATAATTGCATATGGAAAATACGGTGCAGTAGTAAATTATGCAGCCAATTTTCTTTGGAAAAAATGTAAAATATACATGTAAACGGAAAAGAGATAGCAGTGCGAAAATTGCCACGATATGGGGTTATGGTAACGCTGGGTAAAATATGCCACTTTTGGTCGCTTCTTTTTTCAAAATTTCTTTCCAAGTTTAAATAAATCTCGTTTAGTGGAAAATACAAGGGCGGAAAAAACGGAACATAACAAAGTGGATGTTGTATGGGTACCTCTGTACACGCATGTCGATACGCGGCATACGTATACGCGGCGAGGTATACGCCTGCGGTGGGGAACAGGGGCGTGTTCGGCGATGTTTGCGGAGCGGCAAGTTTTATTTGGCAAATGTACAAGAGTGTGGCATCCCTCGGCACGCGCGCGGGGAAAATGGATGAATGTATAGATACATATATGCATATATGCATTCACGCCGACATCCCACGTGTGGCTACTTTTACCGCATGAATGGGGGCACCGCTTTACCCGGAAAAGGCACAAACAAACGAGGCACAAACAAATGCGTTTCTCGATCTGGCCATATATCGGCAGAACGTTCAAAAAAGGGAGGCCATCGACGAAGGAATTGCAAAATGGCCCATTTGTTCCCTTCTTCATATACAGATGGACGAATGCGCGCAGTACACATTCCTTCGCGAGCACGGAGTGTTCCTTAACTGGCACACAAGTAGCTCACTTAACAAACGTACATACCATGCATACGAACATACATATACACGGGCAAGAATGTCAACGGGAAAAATATCGACATGTAGACAATTACAAAGGAATGTGAAAAAATATCAAAACGTAAAAAGGAAGGACCTTTTTTTATGTAATGTAATAAAAAGGTGACACAAAAATAGTTGGCTGAATTTTTTCATATCTCTCTTTACTTTATCACACATTTGTTGATTATGCTTTATTTTGCTTCCTTTTTTTTTATGTTGAACACTAATTGCGATGCGCGCGACAACACAATGGGGGATGGGCACGAATTTTTTACTCAGACGAGTGCATGTTTTAGATGCCCGGGAGAGGTGAAAAAAACGGAAAAATGCATATGCGTAGGTATGTGCATATATACGTACACATGTATGTTCGCATGTACGCAATCGCGCATGTGTATGACTGCGTGCTAATACCTTGCACAGAATAAAGCGGACAAAAAAAAAAATGGTGTGAATGCAAAAAAAGAAACAAAAAAAAGGTGAACTTATATCACATATCGTTAATGGCTTACACCAGTTGACAAAAAATGCGGGAGCTTTAATTTTCTACAACAGGAGGTTAAGCAGAGTGAAAAAAAAAATAACATAACATAAAACAAAACAAAACAGAACGAAATAACAGCGCATTCTATACAGCATATTTTTGACACTTCCTATGGTTCAGAAAAAATGCAAAAAAGATGCCCTCTTTCATGTGCATGTACGTTTAACATAGGGCCAGGAATATGCGGTGATGGAAACGCCTCAGGAAGGTGATACAATAACACTCCACCGTGAGATTCCCAGCATATCGCGTGGCCGGCATATGTGTCACATGCGCCTCCTATGGCTTATATCGTACATATCGCGTATACACCCATACCTATGCCGCGTTACACAAGAAGAACTAACAAATATGCATTAGCAAAGTTGCATGCAGGGTGATTACGTATTATCAATGTGTGTTTCCGTGTGGCATAAAAATGCATGTCTTCACACATTCATACGAAAAGAAAAAAATAAAATAAAATCAGATCATATCAGATCATATCATGTCATATCATATCAAATCATATCAGAACAAATGAAGCCGTGTCAAATCAAACCGTCCCAAATCAAATCGAATGGGCAAAATGCAGTATACAAATATGCCAAAAAGCCCAAGTGTAAAAAAATATTCCTCAGAAGAAATGCTCTTCTGCAAATGTGATATGTGCAAGGGGAAATTTTTTACACCATTCCACATGCACAAAAGGGGGCATATAAGCATGTAGGTAAGATGCCTATAGGCGTCTTTCACGTGTGTACACGTAGAGAAACATACGCTTATATGCTTATGTTCCTACACTCTTACACGGGTAACACTCATACACTCGTGCGCCCAACCGCCCTTATGCACATGCAAACGTAAATAGGGGTGATTGCTCGCAGCATATCAACGTGGGAAATGCTCTAAGGACCGGGTGCACAATTTTAACAGGTTAATTAAAAACACTAAAGAGGAGGCAACAAAAGAGGAAAAAAAATAACGCAAAAATGTAAGTCTGAAAAAAAAATAGGTTCATCAAATGATCGTAAAATCTATTTCTTTAAAAATACAACAGGTATGCGTTCTATGTCCTTCCGTTCGCGTTGTGTATGCGGACCGCAAGGAGGAAACAGCTGCCTCCACTCTTTAGTAACACGACAAGGCGTGCATATGCTTGCGAGGCCTACACCTTCTTGCGCGCACGTCAGTATTTCACCAACGCGGCATACCTTTTTTTGCCGAGTAAAAAATTTTGTAGAATTACTTGTACGTTCGTATGTATATGCCACTATATATAGACATTACATAGGTGCACGTACAGCCTGCAAATGGTTCAGCATATGAAAAAAAAAAAAAAAAAACGTAAAGAGGCGTAAACAAGTGTACCAAATAAATACGACAAATATACACACAACGTTTAAGCAGTTCCTGTGGGGAATATAAACAAAGGAACGCGCTTTAAAGAACGGGAAGCCTGCGCAAATGGTATAACACACGAAATTCGTAGACTTTGGCTTCTCCGTGCGTTTTCTCATGCCCTATTCTATTTTCGTGAGCTTATATAAAATTTAAAAAATATGCAAGATTTTACTGTGAACGCAGACTTTATGCATACATATACGAATGTACATATGACTATACATTCATGCACATCCATACATTTCACATCCTGTGAGCACACTTTTGCCAGGAGTAGTAACTCACATGCCAGAGTGCCTCTCTACACAGGTACCCGTGATACACAGGTAAACTGAAATGCGCACACAAAACCGTGTTCGTTCGAACGATTTAACGACAGAATGGTTTTGTAACGAATGACTAAACAGGTTTAATATACATTTGTATTTTTCGCAACTTATATACGGGAAGAAAAAAATGTACTCGGATGAGGCAGGAGGAGCGTGGCACAAACGTGTAACTCAAACGTGTAAATCAATCGTATGAGGGGAAACACGTGACACAAGCAAAAACTTGGCGAATGTACTCACTCGCAAACGGGGAGTGGAGTCCCTGCTTCGTGAAATGTACACAACTTTTTTATAAACTTCTGTAACGGTATATTGTTCAAACTTTCGGATCGCAGAGAATGTCGCAGTTACAGTCACAGCTACAGTTACAGCTACAGTGGCAGTTGTGATATTAAATTTTACTCGAAAATGTACCTTTTATTTCCATTAAAAAATTAAAGATGTAAATCTAAAACATTGACGATAAAAGCTATAATGCTATTTCTATCAGATACAGTTAATGGTGTATTTATCCAAAGGTTGACAAAAAAAAGGATAAATGATAAAAATGTAATTAATTTTTTTTTTATTTATTTTTTTTTTTTCATGTTGTCGTAAAAGCGATTTGCGTGGTAGAATGCTGTTTTTTTTTTTTTTTTCTCTTTTTTTTTTTCCCGACATTTTTTTTTTCCACGTGAAGTGTGTGCATGTACATTCACAGCTGTATCCTGCGATTTGATTTTGTGTGCGAAATGGGTGATAAATTGGCAGGACTAAAATCACATATGTATATACACGCGTACCGCATAAGAAAGGTGTCGTATACATATGTGAACGTATACACATTGTACACCTATACACATGTACACGATAAACTTTGTACACCTATACACACCGCACATCCACCTCTACGTGTATACCTCCCCCGCTAACGATTCGTTTGTCCTGACAGCTGAGGCGAAGCGGAGAAATATGCAGCTCGCCGTTCAACGGAAAAACAAGGCGGCGAATACTCGGCATTTGTAGAGTCTGTAAAAATCGCACATGTGGCAGATACATATTGCGCCGTTGTACACAACTCTCAGGGGGGGGGAAAAAATAAATTGCATTTTTTGTGTGCAACAGGTTATTTTGCTTCGCCTCCCAGCAGTTCACCTCGCAGTAGTTCGCCTCGCAGTAGTTCGCCTCGCAGCAGTTCGCCTCCCAGCAGTTCGCCTCCCAACATTTTGCGCTGTCGCGCTTCGGTATATTTCTCATCGCCTTATTACTTTTTCTCCTGCATTGGTTCCCCATTTTTCTGCTATCTTTGCCCCCCAAAGATGCCAACGTTTAAGCGGAATAACCCCGACGTCGTATTTTTGCTGCGCGTTTTTTCTCCCCCATTTTTGAAAACTGGCATATTCTCTGCGCATCCTTTTTTTTTTCTCTTTTTTTACACATCCTCCGAGGAAACACACGGGAAAACTTCTCGCCCAATGGCGCTTCTCATCGAGTTAGAAAAACAACGTTAATTTGAAACCCTTCTTTCGTTAATGTCATTTTTACCCGTTTTTTTCCCTCCTGCAAATAAATTTAACCATTTTGTAAAATTCGCGCATGTCAAAATGTCACTCCTTGTTCGGCGCATTTGCAAAAATGAGGCATTTCTTTTGCCGAAATGGCAGGAAAAGAAAAAATAAATAAAAATAAATAAAAAAAAATAAAATAAAATCACATGGCCAAACACAAAGCATAAAAATCACCTTTAAAAATTCCCTCATCTTAAGGTATCTAAATTGGTGATCCATTGTTTCAGTCAAATGTAGTTTAATCGGTCACGGCGCACATGTTACCATTACACATTGGTAGAAAAATTCACTCACGATGGTCCTTCTTTACAATCGCTGTATACCAGCGTATTGCGCAACATCCTTTGCAGATTTTTCTTCTCTACTCGCTAATGTGTGCGTAAAAAAAGGCAAAACTGAGGGGAACAAATTCCGACAAATTGGCATAGCGTCCAGGTGGAGGTCGCGCCCCCGATCTTTTTCTCCCCGATCATCGCAACATGGCTCAAATGGGAAGAAAATCCCAGGATGCCCTTCCCGTTCCCCCATGCATGAAAAGTTGTATACATCCATTTCTACAACAACGCGCTGCATGGAGGTTAGTACTCCCACGCACTGAAGGTGCGAACCAAACATTTTCCCCTTCGTTGGCACTCCGATCTCCTACCCTTTAAGAACGAACATCGGTAAAGATATGCTAAATTAACGCCCGTGAACACTGCAGTGGGTATGACCAAGTACAATTCGCATTTTTCTCCAGGCAAACGAAAAGGTTACCCGCGTCATCATGTAAGGTATCAACAGCGCAATTTCACAAAATCGGCCCAATATGAGCCTTCCAAAAGGCAAAACACGGTTCTTCTATTTTTCTTGACAGATAAAAAGGGGAAAAGCGGAAGTAGGTCTAGCGGAGGATGGTCGGATCGAATAATGCGGGGGAGGAGAAGGGAACCATTTACGCGTGTGCAGCGAACGAACTAAACAATTGACAAACATATCAAATTATCTCATAAAGAGGAGAAAAAAAAAAACACACAAAGGCATAGGAATCGCCATAGACACATATGTACATATTCCCGGTTAGTATCGAAATACTACGACAAGCGGTGGAAAATAAATGGATACTAACTCCCCCCTCCCCCTGATGTGAAGGAAGAAAAGGACGTAAGCGCGTGGGCGTATGTGTACGCCGACACAAGCTTTCATTCGTTTATTTCTCCTCACACATGCGCGAACACAGAAGTACACACACACATAGACAAATGGGCCAACATCGAACGGAGATGACGTCGAAATGGTGGTACAATGGAAGGAAAGAAGATAGGAAAAGTGTTACAACTATGCCGACATTAAGGCAAGTGGGGGTGGGGGAAGAGAAAAATACAAACAGATTTTAATTTTGAAACATTTTTTTTTTTTTCTTTTATTATTGCAAAGGAGAAAGATCACTGGTGACCCATAGATACGGCTCACCACAAATGCGAACGCACCTGTAGGATATCAGCAAGAAGGGAAAAAAAAAAGGCAGATATCCATTGACACATCTCACCTTGACAGAAAAACGCGTAAAGGGAACATTCGTACATACTTTCCCTATGCCACTAAGTCGTTAAAGCTAATAAACTGACTACTCGTCTTTCTTATTGCAATCCCTTTTGCGCGCCAGGCTTCTGCCACCTTTGACGGGCAACCCCCTGCGGACTCCATCGTGAAGATTTGTAAAGTGCTTTACGTATTCGAAGCTGTCATAACCAGAGGAGCTATCATAGGAGTATTCGTCTCCCTCGTCATATTTAATTTCTTGTGACCGTTCTGAGGTGTGGAAAATATTGTGCGGATAGAGCATATGGTTAGGCTGTTCACTATTGTACTGCTGATACAGGAAGGTAGTTCCACAATGGGGATTCACTCCGTCTGAATCGCCACTTGGGTGTGTTTCCCAGTCATCCATTGGTTCGTGTGGCCATCGTTTTGGATTCCTGTCCTCACTGTCATCCCACATGTTGGACATATTCTTCATTGGGATGGCAGGATGACCCGCTTTGAGATTCTTCCAAAACGGTACAGGTGGTGTCCCCACTCCGATGTTGTTACCCCCCTTGGTAAGTCCTCCTTGGGCAGGGGCTCCCCCTCCATGTGTGTAACTCTCTTCATAAGGCAGCTGATTCCCGAGAAGGGATCTCCTCTTTGGCAGAAACAACCCACTGGAGTCAATGCACGTCTCCTCTTGATCAGTTGCCCCATTTTGACCCCACCCCGCTCCACACTGCTCGGTGTTTCTGCTTCTCCTCCTGTGCAGTAGGGGACGGTCCACCCCTTCGGTGAGGAAGAAATGGATCGGGATATCCCCAGCGAGTGGACTCCTCAGGTGTGCCCCGTCATTGGGCAAGCAGATTTGCGTGCGCGGCAGGATTTCCTCCCGTAGGTGGTCGCCAGTTTGCCTCTCCTCGCCTGACCAGTCGAACTCCCGCTTATGCTTCGCGGACGGCATGAAGAGCGGATTTCGGATCTCCTTCGGAGGACAGGAGTAGTCGTACGGCTTGTTCCGGTTCGCCTTCAAGTTACTCGTGTCCATAATGTTCAGCGGCGCAGTGAACCCGACCTTTTGCGTCGGCAGTCTGTAAGATATACTCAGTAACCTCAGTTGCAAAATGATAAAATCGTAAATGTCGGTCCGCAGCTCGAATACTTTCCTCCAATTCCCCCACCCTTCGACGCACTTTATCCAAAAGCTGATTTCGTAGAAATGACCCGGCTGTAGAGAGTACCCAAAATATAAATTCTTCGTTTTGCAAAAGTCGCTAGGTCTACTATCCACCAAAAACTGTAAGCTCTTCCTGAGCTCCTTAAGTGCAAGAAGAGGAGTATTAATATCCACCTTGAAGGATATATCTATATAGGCATTTTTGGACCTACTTTCATTGTAAATTTTGGCGTTACTGAGCTTTGAATTTTCATAAATGACAATTTTTCCAGTCGTCGTCTCAAATTCGGTTGTATACGTTTTGATTTTCTTAATGTACATGGCTTCTCCTCCATCAAGCCTTATACGATCTCCTATATTATACGGATTAGAGAAGGCGATAAAAATGACAGAGGTGATAAAGCTTGTGTACATATAGCTTAGAATGACCGTCACGGCAGTTATGAATGCAGCTCCTGTCACAATGATGGTGTCGACAGAAACTCCGAAGATGAATAAGAGAACGACGGATGCCAGGAAGGAAAGAAGAATAGACATTAATCGACGAACCAATTTAAGAATACTTTCTTGTCCCTTCAGACTTTTTATGAATTTTTTTCGACATGATATTGCTCTCTTTATTGCATTTCTAAACATAAGCATGTCTATTTTTCCATGTCCAGACAAATCAAATTCCCTCATGAACTCTTCTGCCTCTTCTGGCTTGAGAAAAACTTCGATCATTTCTTTTGTTATGAATTCGTTTCCGTTTATTGTCATCTGCATTGGACTCCTCACATTCATAACAAAGGGATCTTCAATTTCGAGAGAGATGTCTTTCTTTATTCTGCTGAATCGTCCTTTTTTATTTTTCTTAAAGCATAGACATGAGCACAATTTTGCTTTTTTATTCTCCTTCAGTTTTTTTACATTGATTGCATCGCTTCTCTCCAGAACATTCAGTTCTTCGTTCAGGAGACGCGAATGGTAATACTGTGTGTTTTTGTTTGTAGATCCGTTGTTTTTCATTTTTCTGCTTAATTTGATCGACTCCTTCATTTTGTTGTTTGTTTTTTTTTTCCTGTCTCCGAATAGCTGGTATGATGAATTCACTTCTCTCGTGTACGAGTCCTTATTGCTTTCGTCGCTGGAGATGTTCAGTGTAGCATTTCGCTTCGCTGGCCCATTTTGCAGGGGCGCGCCCACGGTGTGCTCACTGTCCAGCCGCCGCGTCGCGTTCTCTACTTCGAAGTCGGGAGGGGTGGCCTCATCGGCTTCGTCTGCCTCGTCTGCGTCTCCCGGCTCCTCTGCATCGTTTTCCTCGTCTGCATTGTCCACTTCCTGCACGACCGATGCCCCCTTTCCGGAGGGGCCTCGCCCCATTTCGCACTTATGCATCGAGTCCGTGGTGTACTTCTTCTGCAGGACGTCCTCGATAGTGAAGTCCTTTATCTGCACCTGCATGCTGTTGTAGTTCTCCAGCGGCGGGTAAAACGACCCCTCCTCCGCGCCTTTCAAATCGTCATACAGCGCATTGCCGCCACCGTTTGTCCCTGCGACGGAGTCTTTCTTCTCGCTTGCCATTTCCTGGATCCCCGACAGGGACGGCGTGATGCAGATGTTGAATTTAGTGCCTTCCAAAATGGAAGTTTCTTTCCTCCTGAGGTTTGGGTCCTCACCCTTCTCGTCCATCTCGTCCTTTCCTCGGATCGCAGCGAGGGGGAGAATCGCCGCTCCCTCCCCCGTACCACCATTTGGTGTTTCTCTCTGTAGATTCTCCCACACGGTGTCCTTCCTCAGGGCCGCGGCATTTACACCCCGTCCGTCTTGCGGTTCGCCATCCGGTTCGCCATCCGATGGGTGACCCCTTTGGATCCCCCCGTCGGTAACTTTGAGACTTCTAATATGTTGCACACGGGGAGAAGCACCTGAAGTTACACCATCCAAGGCCTCACCTCGCTGCTTCTCCCTCCTCGCTTTCTTCATTTCGATCGTGTCACTGACGAAGGAGGACGTCCCCCTCTCCACCTTTTGGATGGAGCTCCCGCTAATGAACCCATGGGTGTGTCGCTCACCGGATTGTTCCACCAGGTCACGTGTACCCGCCTCTCCCCGTTCCAACACTCCCGATTTACCCCTTCTCCTTTGAGCCACGCTGCTGCCATTCCTGGATCCGCGCTTTGCCTTGAGCCTCTGCTTGGCCCGACTTTTCGCCTTGACCAGAAGTTTTGGCTCGCTAATCCCGGGCGCAGCAGTCGTCTCGCGCCCTGTCTCAACCGCTTCCCATGGCGTGTTCTTCGTCGCGTCATTTGCCGCCCCATCCGATCCTTCCTTCCGCTGCTCCTCCTGCGCAGCTTCCAGGCGGATGGCGTCCAAATCCACGTCGTTGAAAATATTCTCCAAGTTTATTTTCTTCTTAGCTCTAGATTCCGAGTCGGAGTTATTCACAACATTTTTGGGACTGAACGGGATGGGACCCTGCTGGGGAGTTAAATTAGAGTCCCTGTTCAGATTCAGAGTCATCAAATTCCTATTAGGAGAGAACTCATCGGAAGACATATGCATGGCGGATCCGGTGAAGGCATACGTGTCGTTCTTCTCCTGGTAATACATCTTCAAGGACATGATAATTTGCCTAAAAAGTATGTCTCCACCGATTTTAACTGAATTTTTATTAATCAGTGGAATGCTATTGTTTAGAAGAAAAATAAGCGGAGCTGTATTCACAACATAATGACAAGCTAGCCAATTTTTGATGGTAGAATTTTCTGTCTTTACAATATTTTTTGCCTCAAAAATTGGAGGGACCAAGAGCTTCATGGCATTTTTTTTCTTATTTCTATTTAGAGCAATTTTACAGCAAGTACAATTGCGAGGCAGATTCTTAAACAGTAACAACTCAGCTTTATCTTGGACAAAATTCTTACTAATGTCATTCGTTTCTAACTGTCTGATCATCTTCTCGTCCTGGTATAATTCATAGCCAAAGAGGGATCTCATATTTTCCTGCTTGTCTGCCATGAACATAAACCATTCAATGTTAAACTTGCGCAGAATGCCATATTTGGATAAATACTTCCCTAACAGGTCATGGGCATTCATCAGGAAGCCCAACTCGAAGACAAAAGATATGATAGAAAGGAAAAGCAACCTGGCTGCAAATACAATGTATAGCAATATCGGGAAGGTGATTAACCAGCTGATGCTATTCAGAAACATGAAGGGGTTATCCTGATCTTTGTATCCAAAAATACGAAGAACAAAATAATTCTCATTTTCTTGAGCTCCCTTTTTTAAAATCATGTTACTCCTCCAGTAAATGATCTGAACAGATGACCATAACAGGTACACCAGCTCGGGGTCTACTGTGTTGTAAAAAGCTGCGCATAGGGCACTTGGCTGTAGAAGCTTTTCCAGAAACACCTTCTGAATAATCGCATGAAACACCATGATGAGAGTAAAAGAAGCTATGTTTACGCCTAGGATGAGGAAGCAACAGTATATGCTACCAAAGATGAAGGTCCTATTATATTTCGGTTCCGCTACCGGATCGTGTATATTCGGCTCGGATAAAGAACTGAGACTTACACATAGAACAATCAAATTCATGATAAAATGAATTATGAACCATAACCCTGGGGAGAGGTCCGGATATATTATCGACAAAATTCTGAGGATGATATCTCCCAGTGTTTCACTCTCACTTTCGTCTTCCTCCTCCTCATCGTCTTGCAGAAGCTGGGGGTTGTACGATGATTTCTGGATGTACAGATTCAGAGCGTTGATTCTGTCTTGCCTATTCATGTACGATCTTGACATGTCCATCATCAGTGACTGCGGGTATTTTGCCTTCGACCCGCTCTTGTAGTTTTCTTCCCTTGTCTCGCTCATCTTGTTCGCTTCTCTATTTGTTCATAGGGTTCCCTCCAGTTTTCCCCCTGTACAGCGTGATGTGGTCTCTTTATACCGAGAGCCGGGGGAGGTACTCTCTCCTCGCACAGCCGTGAGACCTATTCGGCTGTCCGCTCCCTCACGTGGCCTTACACCTCCCCATATACCCCCTAGATATGCGGACACACCGAATCTGTCTCTCTTAGCTTATCGCGCCTCTTCTCACACTTGTGAAGGTTCACAGATGGCATGTAATTATCTCCCTCCGATTATTCCACAGCTTCTCTGCATCTGACCTTACTGCCTTCGAACTTTCGCGAAGGTGCCAGCGCGCAGGCGTATACTTAAATTCGTCAGTTTACTCATCCTACGCACACATCCCCCTGCGCAGTGGTTCTCTCTTAGAGGGTTCTCTCCTGTGAGATGCTGCGGTCTCTTCAGGTGGTTGTTTTTTTTTTTTTTTTTTTTTTTTTTTTTTTTTTTTTTTTTTTTTTTTTTTTTTTTTTTTTTGTCTCGGACCAGTGTGTTGGCGTTTTCACAAAAATTAAAACTTTCTTAAAATGGACAAAGGGGGAAGGGAATTTTAGACAAAAAATTTTTTCACCATGGAAGGGGGGCGCCAGAGTAGCTTCCCTCGAGCATTCGCAAAAAAAAAAAAAATGGTATCCACCGGCGTAAATTCGCTCCTCCCACTCGCTCATAGCAATGCGTAGCATTACATATGCGTACACGCGTGTGTGTGCCCACTCAGATGAGGCGTCGCGCACATGTCTATGGGGAGGAAACTGCGCCTATGGACCCGCGGCGTTATGGGCCCGTGGGGGGAAAGCATATGGCGAGCCAGGGCTTCCAATCCAGAGGGCCCCCTACTTGGTATTCACACGCACGGTAGAGCTACGCATATATAATGTACATGGACATGTGAATGCATATGCGACTACCCCTGCGCGATGTATGTGAGTATCACTTCACTCATTCGCCTTTCCCCATCTCGGTCGCTCCACATCAGCCGCTACTTGTGGACGTCTTTTCCGTGACAGGCATCCGGAAGTGGCCGTAAACCACTTCACCCGTGAACGCCCAAAACAGGTGATGACATAGGTCTAAAAAACCGATTTAACAGTATATTAGCCCAGTTAAAAAAAAATGTAACAATTTTGGTCGAATTAAAATGTGGAAACAATATTGACAGCTTTAAAAAAGAACAACCAGTTGTGCTCATGCTGTAACCACGTATTTACGTAAACCTATTTTACTTTAAAACGTTTCGTGGGCACCCACATGGGAAGAATTATAGGGCAAAAAAGTCAACTCACGTAAAATGCACCGCCTTGAAAAATATGCCCAATTGCCAAGAGGGAAGAAAAAAAAAAAAAAAAAAAAAAAAAAAAGAAAACCACCTCTGCACACGTTTTTGCAAGCCAAGAAAGCATGCACAGCGTAAAACCTGCCGAAAAAAAAAAAAAAAAAACTTTTCAATTCTCCGGTCTTCCATAAAGTTTATCTGCGCAAAATGACTGCATAGTAAGAGGTTCCAAATTTGCCAACTTGTGAACTTTTTTTTTGGGGGGTGACCTGCTCTGTAGAGCAAAATGGACAAACTTTTGCCCCCTCTACATTTTTTTCACGCATCGCTTGCGTAAATCGTTGCAATTTTTACACATGCATGGAACACTTTGGGGGAGAAAAAATGCTAATGACGTGGTCCAATTGTTTATATCATCACCCGTTGTTGTCTACGACTGCGAATTGCAGCCTGGTATAGGGCCTCCTTAATTGATGGTTCCTACCTTTGCAAAGGGGAATTATACATATATATATGTGCGCACGAAAGGGCGGGAAAAAAGAAAAAGAAATGTCGGCACAAGGACAATCAACCGGCGTGCGCGTCTACATATACGTGGCACACAAAGGAGGGGAAGCAAAATTTGCTAAGAAATATATCTTACATCAAATTGTTACAACACAACTTTTGATGCTAACTTGAATAGCTACACCAAGTGTGTTGCCTCTCCCTACCCAGGTTTCTTTTTTGGGTGGGGTATTATAATATGTTTAGGGGCCTATCGGTGGTTACTCATATGTACGAATTGTTTTCCCAAAATGCGAAGGCACAATTGTGGGGGTTCCCATTTTGGAAAAGAATTCTTCACACCACAGAAGGGGCGAAGCAGGGAAGAAACCCAGTTTTGTTATCTGCGTTCATCGTATGTATATGCCCTTTTTAATTTTTTTTTTTTTTTTTTTTTTTTTTTAAATGTTATAAAAATTTCCAACTTGTGAACCCCATCCATATGTTTGCCCGATGCATTACGTAGTGTCATTCATGTATAGACGTCCATAACAGACATGTCTGTGTTAATTGAGGAATGGTAATCTTCCTACCCCCCCAGGAAACACTTATGTTCTTACGTGCACACATTCGAGCACTACACTGAACTGGACAGAACGAGACAATTTCCACCTATTTTCCCCCTTACCTTTACTTTTCTCAAGTGTCGAGGGGCGCGAACCATGCCGCACGGATTTCTCTACCCTTAGGCAAAACTGGGAAGCATGCGAATGGGCGTGTAACTTTCGGCATACTACTATACGTGTACGTTTCAGCTGAAGTGTTGTGAATGACAGCTTCGTATCTCCCCCCATGAGAGGGAAAAATAGTTCCCCCTATACTCACATTGCGCCCATTCGAAATAGAAGCAAGATGGAAGGGGCATGCCTTCTTTCCGCGAAATGGTGTGGGGCCAACCAGGCTGCACACTTATAAAAATGAGCAGGTAAACATATACTATGAGTTACTCGTTTACACATTCCAAATACAACCGCGTAAGTGATGCAAGGCTGTGACGTTGAATGAGCTGTGTTGAAAGATGTCCCATTGTATTTGTGTGTCTTTACCTTTCTCTATTGCGATACCCCCCTTTGGGGATGTTTCTCCAGAGCGCGCCACCTAGGGGTGAGAAAATTAATCCTTCTTTCATCTTAACAACAATAAATTCGTGAAGTAGGGGAGGAAACACCTGACAAGGTACTGCCAAGCCCAGCCGTAAACTCACCCACCTGTATTGTTTAGCCACTTGACAGGCACATTGATGCGATACGTTAAAAAACCATTTTGTAAAAAGATTCTTATAACTCAGCTGGCAAAAAATTGTTTCTTCCCCTAAATGTAGAGTGTAAGTTGGCAACAGTAAAGGCGCAACGCATGACCAGGTGAGTTGCGTATTGGGGACAGATGGCCTGATTCCCCACTTGCGCACCTTAAGTATGTACGTGTCCTTTTCGCGCTGGACTAGGCAATTTTGCAATTATGTGGGGTTACATTTTTTGCCTTTCAAATTTGCAGTTTCGTCGTTTTCCAGCTTGGCAGTTTGGCTAATTGGAAGATTTTAAACTTCACAGCGCCCATTTCAACCACACCTCTGTCCCTCCAATGCAAAAATCATTCTGCAGAAGTTGGGAAAAAAATCACAAAACTGTTATTATCTCCCCATGCCGTTTTGCGAAACTCTTCGACGCAGGGCAGCATCGACGCGTCCCATTTTTTTACTCGTCCCCGGAGCGGCAACTGCTTTAGCGCGAACTGTACTTCTTTTTAAAAAAAAAAAAAAAAAAAAAAAAAATTATCGCTATTTACCTGTCATGTTATGGTCAGGTAAAAACGTGAAAAAAAAAAATTCAAAAGAAAATAAAAGTCGTGTGGTACTGCAAGGCCGTGACCCAGAAAAGAGAGTGTAAAGGCCAGAAAGGGGTTAAAAAGCGGACGCAAAAAATACGCCCAGAAGTGGAGCAAGCTACGCCCAGGGGAAAACATATATACATACGTACGTATGTGAAAATATACTTGTGTATTGTTTTTGTGCCTCCCCGCCAAAGGCGAACCCCAGCTCGAAGCCAACGAATGATGGAAACCAACGCGAGCAGTAGGGCCACGGACGAACCCGTGGAAAGCGCCGAGTTATTGAAAGATGAAAGCGGCATCGTTGAAGGCAGCAGTGTGGAGGGCGGAAACGTCGAACGTGCCGATATCGAACGCGACAACATCCAACTCAGCATCGCCCAACGCGGCGACGTCGAGAGTTTTAAAAGGAGGATGAAGGCTGCGAAGAGGATGCCGTCCAGGAAGAAGAAGAGGGAAATAAAGGACGCCGACTCGGAGGAACAGCAGAACGCCCCGGAGGTGGAGAAAAAACAAAAGGGAGAACCGGGCGAAAAGGGGGAAGCCAATTCGAAGGGAAACCAACATCTTGTTGGAGACCCTGGCGGAAAGGATGAAAACCATCCAAACCGGGAGGACCCAGAAGAAGACCCCTCGAATGAGAACAGCGCAGGGAAGAGGAAACGGAAATCAAAACTGAAGAAAAAAGGCAACCAAGAAGAAATTAGCGAAAAGAATACCCACTCCGCGGAGAACGACTATACCATGATAGACAACATCTTTGGGGACGAAAACTTTTCTGATGACAGCCAGAGCAGCGGGGCGGCTCGCAATGAACAGGTCGGTGAAGACAGCCCAGGTGGCTACGATGATGACGACGACGGTGATTACCTCGATGATGATTACCACGACGATGGCGGTGCTAACCAAAAGAGCGAAAGGAAAGAAAATAAAAAAAAGAGGAAGCTGCGCCCCAGCAAGGATAAAAGCGCCGATGGAGGCGGAAAAAGTAAAAAAGTCAAGTCGGCCACGAAGAAGAGCAAGTTTATAGATAGCGTCGCCGAGGAAGGGGAGGAAGAAACAGAGAGCGAAGGCGACAGTGAGGAGTACGAAGAGGAAGACCTTATCATCGACAACAATGACCAAGGGAAAAAAAAAAAAAAAAAAAAAATTCACCCAGCAATGGGAACTTCTCCCCTCTGAGCCTCCTGGACGATGAAGGAGACTACAACAATAACGAAGACATAAACCATTCGGGTAAATCTGAAAAAAAGAAGAAATCCCATTTTGATGAAATCCTAGAAAATTTAAAGATGAAAAGGAAAAGAGTGCAAAAGATTTCCGAAGACGACGGTCTGCAATATTGCGAAAATGTCCTAAACGAAATGATTTTAATGCATGAACAGGATCTAAGAAATATAAAAGAAAAAAAACCAGCAACAGCCAAGTTACAAATAATTGATCAAGTCTGTATGATTCTAACCAAGCCAAAATGGAAACCCTTTTTTATGAAATTAAATATTTACCACGTCTTAGCATTATGGCTGATGCCACTCTCGAAAAATACACTTCCCAATTTTACCATCCGCACGAATCTATTGAAGGTGATACAACAGCTCCCCATTACAATCAAATCCTTGAGGGGCAGCCAGCTTGGGAAAATAATGACCTACTTACACACACATAAAGACGAAACTGATGAAAACAAGAAACTGATTAGGAGCATTTTGCAAAACTGGATGGGACCCATCATAGGAATTAACACAAACTATAAACAATTTTTAAAAGAAAGACAAAAACGAATTTTAGAAAATCCGGAATATCACAAGAAGGTGCTGGAAAAAGCAAAGACATTGATTCCCGATTCGATTAGCATTGAGAAAGAGGAAGAGCAAAATGAATTGAAGAAACATGCCACCATACCCTTCAACAGTGAATGCTCCTTTTTGATTAACGTCCCCTCTTCTGTCACCAGCTCTACCAAGAAAATCATGCCCAAAAGTAAAATTAAGAGGCTTACCGATAATATGAAAATGTTGAAGAGGGTTCGAAAGTCCCAGAGGGTCTCCATTGAGGGCAAGGGGGTTGCCGTGTAGGCGGAGCCACACACGCGTATATACATATATAGATATATACACATATGTATACACCCCGTATTTGTGTGTAGTGTGCCCCTTCCCTTTTCTAGCCCCACCTTTAAAGCGTGCCTTTTTTCCCACTACCGAAGCGGAGTCTCCCTGATGGGGTTTCTTTCCCCGTGTGTAACACTCACATGTGCTCCCATTTTTGTGTCACTTTTGCAGTTTCGTTTATGAGTGTTTCCCCCACGTGTTCTCACCATATAAGTGTCCCTTTCTGCTGTGCGCACGGAATGGTTGACACTGGAGGCATCGCGATATGTGCCAAGTGAAGCTTTCCCCATTTCGGGTGCTACACAAATACCTTGGAAGTGATTTACATGCTAGGGTATAGCCAGCCGTTCTGGCCACGTCGCCCTACCCAAAGAGCACATCAATCTACCCTCTTTTGGGGGTCATTTTTTGTGGTAATTTTTAGCAACCGGTTTATGCCCCCCCAATTTGAGTCAACCCAAATTTATTTCTTCCACTTGACTCCGCTTCTTCCTCGACTTCTTCTTCTTGTTTTTTTTTTTTTTTTTTTTGTGTAGAACTGAGCGTAAGGCATCAATCTGATGACCGCCACAACATTACAACCAAGTTAATAAATATATAAAAATTCCGAAAAAGAAAAAAAAACACATTTCGATGGTATACATATCTGTACATTCCTATCTCCATTGCAGATGTTTAACTGTAGAGCCACCCCATGTGTATTCGAACCTTGTTCTACGCCGTGCATCACCAACTTAGAAAAAAACAAAATACGCAGCGCGGTTCGCTCACTAAGTGTTATGGCCACGCTGCGTTACTGCATGAGAAATGGGAACGACAACTGTAACTTTACCCCCCTTGCTGCTTCCGCCCCCCCTCACTTCTTCATCGTTGGTATGTGTAGCTGACGAACCGCGGTGAGGCAAACTGCGGAAGTTCAAACCGTTTCGTCGTTACATATGCAGTATTGCGCATCTACCACTGGTAAAGAGAGCAGAACATGCGGGTGGGATCCGCTGGATGAATGTAACCAATATGCCCCCGTAAGATAAGTACCCTCTGTGTGTCGACAGAATGACGAAACATGCAGAAAAAAAAAAAAAAGTTAACAGGTTCGTTTTAGAACAGTTCTTCGGGTAAGTATGTAAATAAAAATATGAAGTTTTTTTTTTCTTTTCTTTCATTTTTATGACTTTCTAAAAATGGCCAGGTTATCACGAGCAACTCCTTTATGGAATATTTTATAGTTTTTTTTTTTTTTTCTCTCTCTCTTTTTTGCTTCGCCGTGTGCCGCTCCTCCAATGGGTTTCGTTCTCGCTTTGTTTGTCTCCTTCTACAACGTTTTCCTGCGCAAGCATAAAAATGTCGTGAGTGAAACATTCAAGGAGTATAAAAGGAGATGGGGCACCACTGATGATCAGTACTTCTACATTCACATAAGTCTGCATGAGTGATGTGACAGCGGGGGGATATATGTCTCGTGCGGCAAGGCGGATATTTGTGCCAGTGGCGCCGGACCAACCGCCGCTCTACAAAAGGGCTGGGACTGGAGCACAGGGTGCACAAAAATGGTCGCCAAAAAAATGCGCGACAAAAATGCGCGACAAAAATGCGTGATAGAAATGCGCGACAAAAATGCGCGACAAAAATGCGTGATAGAAATGCGTGATAGAAATGCGCGACAAAAATGCGTGATAGAAATGCGTGATAGAAATGCGCGACAAAAATGCGCGACAAAAATGCGTGATAGAAATGCGTGACAAAAATGCGTGATAGAAATGCGTGACAAAAATGCGCAACAGAAATGGGCAACAAAAATTACTTCAAAAAATAGCTGCGCATAAATGCCCGCACCAAAATAGCTGCGCAAAGATGCCCGCACTAAAATAACATCACCGAACCTTAGCTCATCACGATTTAACGAAAATGCGCGTTCTGTCCCAGCGCCTGGCCTGAGGAGTGGCCTCCGCGCAGCCCTTTTCCCGACATCGCCACCATTGCGTCAATCGAGGCAATAGTGTCAATCGCAGCGATAGCGGCTTTTCCGCTTGGAAAAACAGGCACATGCGCGATACGAAGAAAAGAAAGGGAGGGAAGGGCCAGGGAAAGATGAAAGATGGCGCAGCGCCCGGGCGAAGGAGCGCCAGTGCACCCAAACGAACAGTCAGCAGCCTCCTCGCCGGAACACGCAGCCATATGCCCAGACGGACAACTCAACCAAAGCGCGACAAAAAAAGATACACATAAAAAAAGAAGAGATCAAGCATTCAAAGATTTTATCTACCAAAATATTTTCAACAAGGATCGTTTTACGAATATATTTAAAAAAAAAATTGGGCATAGTATACGAGGCGAACGTAACCAGGAGGATGATCACAGCGGGAGAAATCAAGAAGACGCGTCTGCGGATCAGCAACCCCCAAGTGAAGATGAAGAATACATGCTTTTTTTAAGTTACATATATAACGACGTAGCGTCATTTATTGAGCTTAATAAAAATGAGCACTTAAAAAATTCCGATTATGCTGATCTTGAAGATCTCATTTTGGAAATCTGCGGGACGGTCTGCCGTGACGCCTTTCGCAACATAAAATCGATTTTTAAGTCATCTGAGGGGGGGGCGCCAAGTCAGGAGAGTCTATTCAAGCATGCCAATCATGCGGATCATGCGAATGGCAACGATGTAAATGGCTACCGTATCGATCGATGCAAACCTGATTCACATGGTGACAAGGGAAAGAGTGAACCTTTTCAGAGTTCCTCCCCCAGCGTAAGCGACTCCTCCTTCTTCTTCATACCCCCCATGGAATCCCTAGTTACCCATATTCACAAATTGACCTCAAAAAAAGATGATGTCAATGCCAACAATGTTTTCCATTCCTCATCTGACGTTAATGAATTTCTAAAAAACAACAACTTCGATAAACACCCCATTTATGGTTCACTCCAAAGTAGGGGAGATAAACCGAGGGAAGAGGCGAAGGCTACTCACCAGGGAGAGGATGAAAACCTCCCTTTCCAGTTTGAACTTCCTGCGAAACGAGGGGAGACCCCCCCTTCCCTAGGGCAGATCCCAGCTTCTACTCATAAGGCAGTCCTCCAGAACAGTCATAGTCACAGTCATTTGGATAGCCACCCAAGTGGTTATATCACGTTAGAAGCGGAACGGTCGCACGCACACACAGGGGCAAAAAAGCAAACCTCCTGGAGAGGTAGCGGTAATAACGGCGATAATAACAGCTGTAGTAACAGCGGTATTAACAGCCGTAGTAATCGTCTGCGCAGCGAAGTTGACACATACCCCCCCACGCACAGTCAGCAGGAGCGACTCCTTCTGGAAGACGCCACGGAGGAGATCACCCGAAATGAGAAGAAACATGACGAAGAGGGGGTCCAACATGGACATTCACATGGACATGCCAATTCCACAACAGTAGAACATACACAGATGGCCGCCCATTTTGACGTCAGCTCGAACAATGCCAGAGCTACCATCTTTCTGGATGCCCACAACTTCAACGAAAATGAAACCATTTGGGATCAACAGAAGATTCCTGTTGAATTCACTCCTTCCCTTCTGAATGATACGACTCGTTCGGACTGGAGAGGAGCGATTTACTCTCCTTTTTCAGCGCCCAAGTATGCTAATAATCCCCACTCGAATGATGGGCGGCCGAATGGAGCCGTGCAAGGGAATTTCCCCCCCAACAGTTCTGAAAATGATGATTATATTGATGATGATGTTGTTTCAGTGGAGGGGAAAACAATGGGCGATACGCTTCTGCGGGGGAAAAAATTCATGAATGGTAGCTGCCAGGGGTGCGAGGAGGCTCACAGGGGCATACATCATTACAGCGGGGTTAACTGTTCCAGGCGGATGAGCCGCTCCAATTCAGACGATGGAGTATTTGACGACTGCCTTGACGACTATGTTAAGCCCGCGCGCGGCCATAAGGGCAACCAGGACACGGACACCAACGATGATGACTCGAAGCCCAACGCAAAGAGTGAAGAACGCGACGTTACAGATGAGATGGAGGGGATGGCAAGTGAAGGGGGTGATGCGAATGGGGCACATACACCCAAACAGGATAACCCCCAAGATAGCCATACCACCACCCACGCCGATGAGCAGACAAGCAACAGTATCAGACGAGAAGAGCACATTCATCCGTGCGGCGGACAAAATAGTGACCAGTTGGAGGCTGATAAAGAAGGCATCACAACAGAAGGGAAAAGAGACTCCCCAAAAGAGAAGCACACAAAAGAGCAGTCCCCGAAAGGGCAACCCCTAAAAGGGGAAGAACCGAATGAACACCCCCAAAGGATAATCCAGCTGGACCAAAAAGAATACCTTGAAAAACAGCAGAAGATGGTGAAAAATAAAACGTACACAAACCCTGATAGTAGGAGAGAATTTACAAAAAATGAGAACCCCCACGATGACTACTACCACTTCAAATACCTAAACAGCTGTGAGAATATTTCTAATCCGTATCAGTACACAAAGGTGGAGAAGAAGGCCAACATTCAGGTGACGCCATCTCCCTTTCCGCAGTTTTTGAGGGACATCCAGATTTACAACACCAGTCAGAAGAAAATCCGGCTGAAGAAGTAAGGGGCCCTCTTCGCGCCTACCAGGCGGGCGGTGGCACACTATATGTGTGTGCATTCCGTCCGTAAAATTGTACACACATGTGCGCAGAGGTGTGTATATGCAATAACATATATGTATATATTATTTATTTTTCTTTGTTCTCCTTGTAGAACTAACATAGCGCTGAGGAGGGACGACGTAGGCCTGCACAGAATGGCAACCCATCGGGAACGTGCCCGTCGCATACATGCTCACTATTTTGATCGTTTAATCAGACTCCTACCGCGTGATGCACGCGCACAACTGGAGTTGTTGTCCCCCGTGATATATTTTTCACCTGCCTACCATTTTCACAGGCCGACGTGGGCATCCCAGAAAAGACGACGAACAAGAAAAAAAAGCAGACCAGAAAAAGGACAAAATGACCGTTACAATTGTGGCTGTTGTGATGGTGGAAGAAGGACAGGGGAATTTTACTCATATGTGCTTCGTCGTATGTGTTTTTTTTTGTTTTTTTATTTTTTTTGTAGCACTGCCTTAATTTTTTTCCTCATTATGCGAAATCCCCCCCGTTCGATTTCTTCCTCCTGTGAGGTCGCCCACAAAATGCTTTCCTTCCTTTGTCCCGTCCCCTTTGACTCCGCCTCACTTCGGCCTGCACAATATGTGTATTCCCTCTATATAGGAGTAAACCTTCTCCCTTTTATTGTATTTTATTTTTTTGGACCTTTTTTTTTCCGTTTTAAGTAAACCTTTTAATTTAAACATTCCTGTGTGGAGAGCTACCGCCACGAAGTCACCCATAGTGGGAGGTTCCCGTGGAGGTGGGGGCAATTATGATATGCATCCCCACGACGTCCCTATTTGCAGCGTTATTTTGGCACTCCCGGTAATTCGCTCCCCTCTCCTACCAACGGGTTAAAGGTTGAGAAACGTAACTAGTGACGGGAACAGTACCTGGTACGATCGAAACGCTTATGTATGGGTGACCACATAAACGACGGGTGCGCTGCATGGCGAGGCAACACAAAAAGTGAGCATGCAGAATATCCGTTTCTGCCAGGTGAAAAAAAAAATATAGGCCATTTGGGGATAAACCTTTTTTCTGTGTCATTTTTTTTCTGGCTCTCCATCGGAAGCTTCCATATCTGATAGATTATCAGCGAGTCGATCGAGGAACCTGCAAATGGGGGTTCATCTTGCTTGTAGGGAGGATGTGTTACCGCTTAGAAGGATAAGCCCGACACATTTTTTTTTCCTCCCCTTTTCACCGCAGCAGGGGTATTCTCAGGTGCAGGGTATAGCCTTTTGCTAGCGTTAAGATTAACCCTGCATAGGGAATAGCCGCCCACCCGCAGTCTCACCCCGTCAACACGGGGACAGAAAGTATAGTTACATTGCTACCTAGTCCCGCCCATTACTGAGCGACCCGCTTGCGAAAAGACTCCACCACCACCCCTGAGAAGAACAGAATGCGAGTCATCATTCAGCGCGTTAAAAATGCCGCGGTCAGTGTAATCAAAGAAGGCAGCAACGAGACGGAAAAGCAGTTAGAACTTCTCAGCGAAATACAAAATGGAATCATCTGCTTCCTGGGGATACACAAAAACGACAGTTGGAAGGATGCGCTGTATATCATTCGGAAGTGTCTGAACCTCCGATTGTGGCCAAATGGTAACAAAAGTTGGGATAAAAGTGTGAAAGATTTAAATTACGAAGTTTTGGTTGTCTCTCAGTTTACCCTTTTTGCTAACACGAGAAAGGGAAGCAAGCCAGATTTCCACCTGGCGAAAGAACCCAAAGAAGCACTAGCTATGTACAACAAGATGGTAGAACAATTTATCCAGGACTACAGTCATGAGAAAATAAAAACGGGCAAATTCGGATGCTATATGAACATCCAAGTGACAGGTGATGGGCCTGTTACTATTTTTATTGACAGCCACGACGTCAATTTGGATGGCTGATTTGGACAGGAAGCAGTAAACCGCTAAGCCGCGATAAGCCCCAATCGAGGTGGTGCACCCAGGAAAAAATGGTCGCTCCGTGTGTGTGTCGCTGCGCAAAATGTTGCATTCCGCTGGTCTGTATTATGTTATTTTTTTTATTTTATTTTTTCCTTTGTCCCTCATGCATTGTGAAGAGATAAACATGGGATGCTTCTGCCACGAGAGGGAATTTCCACGTCACGCGTCACACCGCAAAAGTACATAGGCGTACGTTCGCGCGTATCTCCATGGGCGTATTTATCGAAATTGGAAAAAAAAAAAAAAAAAAAAAATTTGGCAAACTTGGCTAATTGGGCAAACATCCCCAACTAGTCAGTCGCCGCAAAACAGAATGACCCTTCTGAACAAGAATCGAATTAACGCCCTCCTGCCTCACTGGAGTTACAGAACCAAGCAGGGCTGCTACGACTACATACAGAGGAAGGTCGTATTCCCCTCCTTCTCGCAGGTAAGAAGCTGCACATCCATGCGTACACATTTAACGAAATGGTTATGATGGGTGACGATGAGGACATCATACCAGGTCTACGTATGCCCCTAAATAAGTGGCACAAATATTTGCGTCATGAGCGTTTGGCCTACGATCATGGGGAACATATCTTCCCACCTGTGAGACAGTTAATCTGTGGGTAAGGCCACTGTGTGCCCTGCGCGAGAAGTAGCCGCAACATGCGTGCATCAATACAGCGTTGCATCGCTACACCGCTACATCGCTACACCGGTGCGCCGATTCCCCCCCACGCAGGCGACCACATTCCTGAGAGACATGCTGCTCCAGAATGAGAAGATGAACCATCACTGCAAGTACACGAGCGACTACACCAAAGTGAAAATGAAGATCTACACTCACACGGCCAAAGGGGTAACAGAAAAGGACGTGGCGTTTGCAAATGTTGTGGACAGCGCACTGAATAATTATGCTTATGAAGAGGTAAAGGCAAGTCACTCAGGGGGGAAGAGAGACACTTAAATGGTACGTCAACTAGACGGGTTTCCTTTTTTTTTTTTTCTTTTTCTAACGTGAGAATGGTACACTAAACTGATTATCCTAATATGTTGGACAAGAGTTTTGCAAATGTTTCCAAACAACGGAAAGGGGTTAGTGACCACTTGTAGTGAGACACTTAAATATGAGACCCTTTCCCTCGCGCCCTTTCCTTTTTCCTTTTCTTCTTAAATCGTGATAAATTCTCCGTGGAAAATGCGTAGCTGTCATTTTGTACGTTTCTCCTACCATGTCAGTTTTCCTTTTTCTCGTTATGTGTATATCCTTCAAGGGTAATTTTCTTTTTTTTTTTTTCGTATTTTTTTCTTTCCATCTCGATGCTTTACTAACGACATATAGCACGTGTGAAGGGGGTCTTCACAGGGAGGTTAATTCGTCAGCGAGGCAAACTTCAAACGGGAGCAGTGTGGGCACACCAAAAAAAGCATGATTGCCTTCGGTTGAGCTTACTACACCACAAGCTTCGCCGTTCCAAGGGGTAAATTACCTGCTCGCAGGGAGTCACCAAAGGTTTTTTTAAAGGAGAAGTGGCACACCGCGCGCGAAACAGTTGGAACAGCACAAAGGGCGCAGCACGAATGGAGCAGCCCCTATGGCGCAGAAGGTACCCTTTTCGGCGTACAGTCATGCATTCCCCGGCGAGCCATCGCGGTGGCCGAAAAATTTCTACATGGCCGCGGCACGTGGGAGTTCTGGCAAAGGTACACGACACGAGGGGTTATTTATTTCTCCACGTGGGTGGCGCCACCGTGCCCCCAGTGAGGGAGAGTCTGCATGAAAGCGCAAAAGGGCAATGACATCGGTGAGGCTTACCGATCATATGAAAATACGTCCAGGAGCATAATATATGCTTACGCTCAACTCTGTGGACGGACCACATCCGAATGTGCCCTACTACCTGAGGGGGGAGTGTCGTCACCCTCGTAGGGGGTACATTAAAAAAAAGGCACAGCTGGGATGGCCCGCTCCGGAGGGGTTTAATATTATTTTATGCTTCACTACATTTTATTGTACCTTTTTTTTTTTTTTTTTTTTTTTTTTTTTTTTTTTTTTTTTTTTCTTTTTTTTTTTTTTTTTTTTTTTTTTCCTTTCATGTTACCTTTTTTTTTTTTTTTTTTTTTTTTTTTTTTTTTTTTTTTCTTTTTTTTTTTTATAAAAATATAATTAACGTCCCATCTTTGTGAACCTTTTTGCAAGTGCCTGCTTTATGCAGAGCGCGAGCCCGTTCCTTAATCTACGAAGATTTGTGAGCTTAGAGCCCCAGCGAAAGGGGTTGCGCCGCTGCAGAGGCCATTAACGAAAAGGAAGCCTCTAAAGGAGAGGAAGCCGCTAACCGAGCGAAAGCCGCTAGCGGGACGAACGGTGCGAATTGCAGAAACTTCCCTACCACCGTGAACGCTGCGTATATTGAGAACAACCGGTTCGCGCTGGGGCACGAAATATATCGACCCATTCGTTGGAGGCGCGCTGATCGGGAGCAAACAGTGGGAGAGGAAAACAGTTCTCACTGAGCATGAAGGCAGATTTTTCCGCGGGGTGGTATATACGAGTATACATCTCTATATTCGCACAACTGTGGGTAGTGCTACTCAATAGTTTGCGTCATTTGCGTCGTGTGCACAGTGTCCTCTTCGTACTGCTGGCCCCTGTATATACATCTCTCCTCTTTGTAGGGACACATACACCATATGATCAGAGACATCCAATTTTCCCCATAAACTGTACTTGCCCTTCTGTGGTAGAAGACCACGCGCTGAGAAGTTGCGCAGAAGAGAACCTCCTCTTTCGCCTCTTTCCCCACCTTGCCCCGCTTTGCAATACAAAAGAAATGTCTTCCAGCTCCATCAGCAAAAGGATCTACATTCCCAAATTCTACGCTGATGTAAATATCCATAAGCCCAAAGAATATTATGACTATGATAACTTGGAGCTACAATGGAACAAGCCAAATCGGTACGAAATTATGAAGAAGATAGGAAGGGGGAAATATAGCGAAGTGTTTAATGGGTATGACACGGAGTACAACAGACCCTGTGCAATAAAAGTATTAAAACCGGTGAAGAAAAAAAAAATAAAAAGAGAAATCAAAATATTGCAAAACCTACATGGAGGACCAAACATTATCAAGCTGTTAGACATAGTCAAAGATCCAGTCACGAAGACTCCTTCTCTCATTTTTGAATACATTAATAACATCGATTTTAAGACCCTCTATCCGAAGTTTACCGATAAAGATATACGCTACTATATTTATCAGATTCTGAAGGCGCTAGATTATTGCCATAGTCAGGGCATCATGCATAGAGATGTGAAGCCACACAACATAATGATTGATCATGAGAACAAGCAAATTAGACTCATCGATTGGGGATTAGCTGAGTTTTATCACCCTGGACAAGAATACAACGTGAGAGTAGCGAGCAGGTATTACAAAGGACCAGAACTTCTCATCGATCTGCAGCTGTATGATTATTCTCTAGATATTTGGAGTCTAGGATGTATGCTTGCTGGCATGATATTTAAGAAGGAACCTTTTTTTTGTGGCCATGATAATTATGATCAACTTGTAAAAATTGCCAAAGTGTTAGGCACGGATGATCTTCATGCGTACTTAAAAAAATACAATATAAAATTGAAGCCCCATTATTTAAACATCCTGGGAGAGTATGAGAGGAAACCCTGGTCTCACTTCCTCACTCAGTCCAACATCGACATCGCCAAGGATGAGGTAATTGACCTCATTGATAAGATGCTTATTTACGACCACGCCAAGAGGATTGCCCCCAAGGAAGCCATGGAGCATCCCTACTTCAGTGAGGTCCGCGAGGAGTCCTGACCGGATCTGCGACAGACGTGCAGATGTGCAAATATGCAGATGTGCCGACATGCTGATGTCCACACCTGTTGAGATGGTCACCGAAGCAGCACTGCGAAAAGGTTGTACAATCGCCGTGAGCCTAACCCCCCGGGGGAAAAGCGCTCCTCTCATTTTTGTACAATGCACACTTGTTAATATGAACACAAGTTCAGTTCTTTTCTTTTTTCTTTCTCCTTTTTTTTTCACATCCATTTTTGTGCCCCTGTGCGTATAATACCTCCCCCTGTAGAGGCCTGGCCCCCTCTCCCCAACGCAGCAGTGCAAAGCGAGAGCACATATGACATGATTTCGCAAGTGGGTGCATCTACACCTGCAAGTAGCGAAGGGGTACTTCTACCCCTGCACCTTTCTCTCTTCCCCCCCTTTGCATCCGCATGTGTATGCACGCATACTGAGCACCCCCCCCACCTCTTGTTAAGCTGCTAAATTGCTAAGCTGTTAAACTGTGAAATTGTTAAGATATATATTTTTTTTTTCAATTGCCCCGTCGCTGTTTTTTACGTGGAGCTCTATGCGCAGCCGCCACTTTGTCGAAGGTGATTCGTAAAACAACGATGGTAAGGTCGGTGAAGCGGGCAGGTTGGCGGGTCAATCAACTTTGCGCCATACTGCGAAGGGCAGATTAGTTCTTCTTCTTCGCAAAGAGAACGGAGCAGGCAGAGCTGCTGCCCTCCTTTTGCACATTCCCTTCAGCGCACATGTGAGACACTCGCATGACACCCCCCCTATTGTGGACTATCAAAAAAAGGAGACCCGCACTTAGACATAACTTCCCCTCATCAGAAAAAGGGGCACAAAAAGAGGGCCCCCAATGGTCCCTTTCACATTTGGAAGGAGAAAAAATTACTCCACGGAGAACGCCCCTCATTTTCACCCCTGCGCTCTTTCCCTGTGCTATGTTACGATGATGCGCGGCAGCGGTTGTGTGGGCCGCGTGCTCACCCCTTCCCATTTCTTAGCCACTACGACACTGCTGACGTCACTCAGATTGGGTGACAAAACGCGGCTAGCTAAACCCAAAGTTGCTGCTTTGCGGGGAACACCCATCGGTACGTACATTTTATGACTTCCCCTTGCGGATAAAAATCCGTTTGCACAGTGCATACTGGTTTGGCATCCCCCGTTCTTGGGATCCCCTTGGGTGTGCTGGGCTCATTTGTTCACATATTTTTCACGCATCCGTCTGTACCTTAATTTGAATTGATTGAAATTTATTTGGATTGAATTGAATTCATTTGAATGAATTTGAGTTGAGTTGCCTTTTTTTTTTTTTCCCCACCCTGTGGAATTCCTCCCTCGTAAAGGAACACCTTTTCGTACCAAACCTGGAAAACCAACTTGAACGGAAACTGGAACCCCAAGTGGAACCCCGCCTTCTGCTACTTTTAATTTCCTCCCTTAAGAAGGAGAAAACATTTAGAAGGCACAAAGGAAAAGTTTACGTGAAATGCGAAAGTCATAGTTTTGCCCCCCACCATTGGCATTTCCTTTTCGCAAAATCTTTTGACTGAATATTCCACTTCTTTTTCACTCCCACTTAATATAAATGAAGAGCGGAGCTATGAGAAGTTGGAGTTCCTCCATGGAGGCAATGCGCAAATGCTCCCTCCACGGAGGCTTAAATCCGTTGCCACAAAAGGTCGGTTGTCTGTCTCTACGGGCAAATGGCCTAACATCCGTCCACGTTGTGCCCTTATGTATAAATGAGCTCTTTCCTACTGGTGCCACTGCGATACAAACCGCTTTTTTTTTTTTTTTTTTTTCTTTTTTTGGACGAATTGTTAGGGAAGGAACTTCTCCGCCACAAGTAATGTGTTTGTTGACAAGAACACCACGGTGATATGCCAGGGGATCACGGGGAAGCAGGTTTGGCGAAGCGAGTGAATGTTCCTTCGTGTGTGTATCTTCCTTGGTGTGCCTTCGTGTGTGTACCTTCCTTGGTGTGCTTTCGTGTGTGTACCTTCCTTGGTGTGCTTTCGTGTGTGTACTTTCGTTGGTGTACCTTCCCTGCTGTGCTCTCATTTGTGTCCGCTTTTCTCCCCCTTCCCTGCAGGGAACCTTCCACACCACGGAGGCAATGAAATATGGGACTAAAATGGTAGGGGGCGTGAACCCTAGGAAAAAGGGCACCATGTGGGAAAGCCTAGACAAAAAGTATACTCTCCCCGTCTTCGGATCCACCATGGAAGCAAAGGAGAAGACCAACTGTTACGCATCCGTCATTTATGTCCCCCCCGAGCATGCAAAAAATGCCATCATAGAAGCAATCGAAGCTGAAATCCCGTTAGTCGTCTGTATAACTGAAGGCATATGCCAGCATGACATGGTGGAAGTAAAACACTGCCTGAAAATGTCGAAGAAAACAAAATTAATTGGTCCAAACTGTCCAGGAGTAATAAAACCAGGGGAGTGCAAAATAGGGATTATGCCATCTCACATTCATAAAAAAGGCTGCGTTGGAATTGTAAGCAGAAGTGGAACCTTGACCTACGAAGGAGTAAATCAGACTACCAAAGTTGGGCTGGGACAATCTACTTGCATAGGCATCGGTGGGGATCCTTTCCACGGAACAAGCTTTATTGACTGCCTTAAGCTCTTTCTGGAAGATGAAGAAACGAAGTGTGTTTTACTCATTGGAGAGATCGGTGGGGATGCAGAAGAGCAAGTCGCTGAGTGGCTAACACAGAATAATGTCGATGATGGGAAGAGAAAGAAAAAACCCGTTTTCGCCTTCGTAGCAGGGAAATGTGCCCCCCCTGGGAAGAGGATGGGCCATGCGGGTGCACTAATTAGTGGTGGCAAAGGCACAGCGGAGGAGAAGATCAAGGCTTTACAAAGTGCCGGTGTGCATACAATTATGAACCCGACTTTAATGGGGCAGGAAATTTACTCCGTCATGAACGCCATCGCGTAGGGGCAGCTGTGTAGAGGCCTTGACGGAGGATGTGCAGCCTTTCGGACGGGAGGACCCCCTGCGCACAGTTGAGCAGCGCGTAAGCGTAGATGCGTTATCCTGCCATACGCTATACTGTGATGTGGTGTTTTTTTTTTTTTTTTTTTACTGGGGAAATCCCCTATAACGAAAGAAAAGGCACAAAAACGAATTCCCCCCGTCCAGAAGGTCACTCAGTCAGACGCGCAATTTGAGACCACCCCTGCAGGTCCATGTTTGTGTGTAGCTTAACGGGGTGATGAATTACAGTGCTGCTCTCCACCCGCAGAATCTTACTACACAGCTAGGTCACAAAACATTCTGATGATTTCTCCCATCGGGTGTAACCTCACTGGGTTTACTGACATCCCGAAACACATGCACCCATCTGTGCAATTCGAATAGGCTAAATGAGTCTCTCTAGGGGAGATGGCATGTAAGTACCCCCTTTATCACACCAGGTTAAAGTTACTTATGGATAAGGAGCAATTCTCCAGCATGGGATGACTCTCAAACAAAGGGCGTCCCTGATCTGGCGAAGTTTCCCCTCACGCGCGTAAATCATGACAGTGAAAAAGTGTAACTGTGTGTGCGTTATGCGTCTTCACTGGTCAGTTGCGGCAACTTCTCCACGCCATACGCTTATTGCTTCGAAATGTGAACGGTGAGCTAGTAACTTGGGTGAGCACGGAATGGAGGAGTATTATCTTGACAGCGCTTCGCTCTGCTGTGCCTTTTTCCTTTCCTTTGCAATTTATGATGGGGCCCACACATAATGCTGTGTTCAATGCGCAGGAGAGGCGCCCTCAAAATAAACAACGTATTAACAATAAAAAATTTCGTTCCCTTTTTTTTTTTAAAATATCAACGAGGAGATGGAGGTGGACCGACATGCAGTGGGGAATTCGTGTGGTGATGCGGCATGTGTACCGAAAAAGGAGTAACGAGGCATGTGTACCGCAAAAAGAGTAACGAGGCATCCGTACCGCAAAAAGAGTAACGAGGCATCCGTACCGCACGAGGAGTGACGTGACATGCAACTTGCGAACCGCTCAGGAGTCACAAATGTGCGTAACAACAAGGGGCACGGGGTCCATTGCAGGGACATGGAGAGAAAAAAAAAAAAAAAAAAAAAAAAGAATTCATTTTTTCCTACCACCCTTAGGGGTCACCTTTAATCGTGACGTTTCCTTTCATGCCCCAAACACAGTGGCAGGCGCGGTTCCGTGTAGTGTTCCTAAGCTGTGTGCACGTAAGGAACGTCCGCATGTGTGTAAAAATCAACATTTTTGCAAGTGGAACGCTTTGTAGGATTATAACTCATCTGGGGTTGGGGTCTTGAGTGTGGCTTCACCGTCCGCACCGTCTTCCTTGTCGCCTGAAGCCCCGTCGTCCCGATCTAACTCGTCCTCAGTCCCAGTTCTTCCTCTTGTGGAGGGAAGCACAACATTCTTACCAATGTCAAGTTTGAAATCTTCTGGGTATCTTAAAATGTCTCCGTAATCAGTCAACGATGTTACTGCTAATTTGAGCGCCTTCTCATTCCATAAGTCAAAAGTAATAGGTTTCCCTTCGAAGATGGTATCTTTCACTTCGGTTATGTTAATGGAACCCGCTTCATTGGATGGGTCAAAATATACCTTAACAATTTCTTCCTTGTCTATAAAACCATCTTTATTTGTATCGAAAAAGTTGAAATCATCGAGAGCAACATCATCGTCCTTCTTCGCATGGGGATCATCCGTTCTCGTTTGCTTAAATTCGTCAACTGATATTCTGCCATCCTTATTTACATCATGGTGCTCCAGAATTTCATTTATTTCTAATTCCTTCAACTCTTCGTCCTTCATTGGATCGATTAACAATCCTACTTCGTTTATGTTTAGCTTGTTGTCTTTATCCTTGTCGACAATCTGAAACCTCTTTAGTAATCCTTCTGCGTGTTTTTCGACCTCTTTAGCATCTAGGTTCTGTGAAAATGCTTCATTTAATTCTGGCAGGGATATGAATCCATCCTTATCTCCGTCGATCTGTTTCATTTCTACCTGCACCTGTTTCAGGAACACCTCATTCTTCACATAAGTAGACCATGCGTTTAGCTCATCTTCTGATATTACCTTATCATTGTTTTTATCAATCACTGCAAACAATTTCTCAATTCTTTCCTTGGCTCCTTTGATGTCCAACCCTAGGATGTCTTTCACTTGTTCGTCATTCAAATTCGTTAAGTCATCCAGTCCTCGCATGTCTGAGTACTTCATCGGCATCTCCTCGCTTCCCACCAGCACATCTTCTTTCACGTAGAACAAGAAAGAGGCCATTAGGATGTTATACACGTACCTCTTCATTTTCGCTTCAATGAGATTTTTTTCTTTCGGGGAGTGGGTAATGGGTAATCAACGATCAGCGAGCGACTGTTGGAGGGACTATGCGAGGCTTCTTCCTTCGTTCGCTTTGCAGTTCTATGCGTTCTGTAAGCTTCGCGCTTTCCGTGCGTGCCTGCGGGGAGGGAGATCACATGGGCATAATACTTATATGTGTACGGACACGTCGCGCGCTTCCACGAAATGATCATGTGTATGCTCGCAGCTTACTCACGTGACAAGAAGTGTGAATCTTTCAATGGGGTAATACATTCAGGATTATCCTTCCTCTTGTTTCACTTCATGTGTTCGCAAAGCTAGTTTTTTTTTCTTTTTTCTCACTGTGAGCTTTATCGAATGCTACTTTTTTTTTTTTTTTCTGTTTGGTGAAATCCTAAGCAGGTTTAATGCCTCGAACGGGATGTGAACAATTTAGGGGTTCCTCAAAAATGTTTTTTTTTTTTTTTTTTTTTTTTCCTTTTCCTTTTCAAATATCGCTAAATTAGCCGCATGCTCATTTTCGTACCTACCCTTGTGCGATGAGCTTAAATTACTGCCATGAATAGTGCGTGCGGTGGGGCGAGGGGCTGCCTTCCAAATGGGGTGCATATTCAGTGTAGGTGCTCGTGTGGATGATCGTGGGGGGGGTGTTCATGGGGGTGCTTGGGCAGGTCGGTGAAATTCCCAGTGGGCATTCCCTATCGATATGCTTCTTCCCCACCGAGGAGCACGCTCTACGTGCGAGGCTCAAAAAGGCGGTGGATACGAGGTATGATGCCGCCTATGTGCATTTAAGCGTGCAGCTCCCTTGGCCAGAGTAAGCTGCACAAGGAAGCATACGTACATATACGTACTACATACGTATACATATTTACATACACGTGCGTACTTCTTCGTGTGCTGTCACCTCCCCGGGGGAAGAAGTACCTAGTGCAGTTTATTCCTCTAGTTACTTTTATTTTTTTATTCCTATTTTTATTTCTTTTACTCCCCAAAGGATAGGAATTCCCTATCTATGCCATTCCTCTGATGACTAAATGTGACTCCCCCGCTGCTGCACCTTGGCGCCTCAGGTGTTCCTAGTTAGGTGCGTACCAGGAGCATACCAGGCGTATACCAGGCGCCTACTAGGTACTCGTTAGCCTCACCTAGCTTCGCGGCAGGAATGTTATATGTCCCCCCAGCCCCACTACCCCCGTCGTGTGTCAAAACACACCTTCCTGAAAATTTCTTTGCGAGACGAAAAGGTGGAATTGTGTGCCCCCCCCACGTTTCGTGTGGTTAAGTCAAAGAGGGAGTAAGGACGAAACGACGGGCTCCCCCGGCAAGTGGTTTCTGCAGAGGTAGCACGTTTGGGCGTCCCCTCCATCGTCTGTTTATAGTCAGCCGCCTGTCACCCCATCGGCACATGTTCTATCTCGCGTGGTTGGGGGCTCACCGTCGGAAGGAAGCGCAGATGGAACGGCTCCCTCCCCGTGGTCTACTCCCCATTTTTACCACTTAGAAGAGGCGAAAAAATCAAAATTACACAAATAATTTCTTCGGCCTCTTCTCGGGCAATATTCCCCCCAAATGTGTGCCCTTTTGCCCCTTTGGATTTTATTCCCCTAAACGATGCTCCACCTTTTTTTCTGTCACGGTAGATCGATGTGTCAGTCCCCCGATGGGCTTCTCTCCGCACAAGTGCGACACGTGTCTACCCATTCGGATGGGTTAGCAGAAAAGAAAAAAAAAATTAACAAATAAAAAGGGACTGTTGTATACGTCTACAAAAATTAGTGTGTTGCGAGAAAAAAAAAAAGAAACAATAGAAAAGATGAAGATGACGGAATGGTGACCAGCATAATCCCCTTTCCAGTGGCGATCACGTTAGCTACAGTAATGTGAACCACAATCGTAAGGATGAGCTTAACTTTTACGATGTGAAGCGGAAGGGTCCTCAGGGCGCTACACACTTGGGGTGCAATTCTCCACGGTCCCGCGGGTAGTCGCGCGCCATTCCACCGCTCTTGGGCAAAGGAAGAAATGAAAAAGAAAAAAAAACACATTACAATGTGCTGATCATACACAGAGGGAGTGGGCTTAAAAAAATGGGTGGCCCCCTGCTCTGCGTAGTCTGCTATTGGTACAGCTGCGGGGGAGGAGCCGCAAAAAGCTGCTTCAATGGAATTCGCGTCGGGTAAAAGCGCCGCGCCGTTGAGACGTCGCACCGGCAATACGTCGCACCGCTAATACGTCGTGCTGCGGCGCTCCTTCGCCGCTCCCTCGCCAACTCAGAGCTCGTCCGCGTAGTGCGGCGCGCTGACGAAGCGGAGCCCGCGTTTGACGGCTTGGTTGATGGGAAGCCCACCGCTGACCACGTCCTCCACGAACTTGTGCACGCTCTGCACGTTGACCTCGCCGTCGTGCAAGCGGAACTTCTGCCGCTTCGGCCTGAAGGCGACGAGGAAGAGGCAATTGGGATGCTTGCATTCATTGACTAGCCCGAAGGAGTCCAAAATGTAGGGCTGCTCAAACACATTCACGTACATGATTTTCAGCGGATCTTTGGAGAACTTGCCCGCCACATTCTTGATATCCTGATCGAATTTGTGGTAACTCTGTTTTAGCAGCTTCAAAATGAGGAAGCAGATCTGCGAGTCTTTCTCGTGACACTGACCTGATTCAAATTTTTTCTTAGTTAACTCCTGGTAGGAAGTCACATGTCCATACAGATTATTTTTCAGCCGATTTTGCGCGACGATGTGACTCAACTTAAGCGACAACATGTTGAAATCGAAATTTTTCAAAAAGGTTAAGTCCCCGGAGAGACTATCGATATCTTCGACAAGCAGAATGGAGGGTGGCCTCACATTTCTTTTGCTGAAAAGTTGCATCACATTATAATTGGAACTGTAAATCACCCCTATGTCTATTCTTTTTTCAAACTCGATGGAGAGTGCCTTCAACATCACTATGTCGTCATTGTACGAGATGAAGAAAATCACCTTAGGCGTTTCTACATTCTTCACTAAAAAGGAGTCCAGTTTCCTCTGGCTAGTAATATCGGTATACAAATATGGTATGTTCTGCTCAATAAAGCTGATTAAATTCTCCTCCGTTCTGTTTCCATAAAACGTTTCAAACGTTTTATTTTTTTTTAACAAAATGATATGCGGAAGAGACTTCACATTATATTTCCGGCAAATGCTTTTTTCCTCTTGACAGTTAACCACAGAAAAGGTTAAGTACCCATCATACTTTTTGGAAAATTTTAAAAACTTCTTTTTGAAAGATTTACAGTGGGAACATGCTGGAGAATAGAAATTTATTACCAGGGAGTAAGTGACGTCGTTTATTACCTTTTCGTAGTTTTGCGAGTTTATTTTTAACACCTCATTTTTGTATATGTCTTCATATTCATCCTCAAACTGATGACCAAAATTGGGGAATCCTCCTCCGGCACCTCCACCACTTGAGGAGGTAAACTTGAAGTGGAAATTTCCCGCACGACCACCTCCTGCACCTCTTCCTCCTCCTGCGAACTGTCTAAATATTTCATTTACAACATCCTGATCAAAATGGAAGCCACTTCCAAATCCTCCTGGTGATGCTCCTCCACCTCCGGCGGCTGCTCCATCTGCGTAATTCTCGCCATACATGTCATACATTTTCCTCTTCTCCGGATCTGACAGAGTCTCATACGCATTAGCTATTTCTATGAAGTCTTTTTCTTTATCTGGAGCCACATCCGGGTGATACTCCTTGGCTAGTTTCCTATATGCCTTTGAGATGTCCTCCTTGCTGGCATTCCTTTTAATCCCCAGCCTTTTGTAATAATCCATTCCTCTTCCGAAAGACAAAAAAAAGGACAACACTAGCAGAATTACGGAATGCATGTTGGTTATTTTTTTTCTTTTCCTCACGTTTACCACCTTCATTTTGTTTTTTTTTTTTTCTTCTTTTTTTTCTTTTTTTTTCCTTCCCCGTTCTGACTAAACAATCGGAAAAATAAAAAAAAAAAAAATTCTGTACGACTTCTTCTCCCTTAAGGAGTAGAGTTCCACTGCAGCACGGTGACAGAAATCGAAAACTTCAAACGTATCGCATGAGGTCTCTGCTCAGTGTTAAAACGAAACAAATGGTACATTGAGTGGCAATATGGTCTTTACATCAGTTTTATCTTCTCTTTTTTTCTTCTTCTTCTTCTCCTTTTTTTTCTTTTTTTTTTCCCTCTTTTATTTTGCTTGTTCTTTTGGTTTCCTTATCATGCCTTAACTCGAACATCGCGCATGTGATGAAAATCGGCATGGGAAAACTGAACTGTTTATGGTGCCCTGTGCATATCTACCAAAATTATACGTTCTTCTTCCTCCTCACAAGTGGCAAAAAAAGCTGAAAGAAAAAAGAAGAAGAAGAAAAAAAAAAAACTTGAGTCGCATATGGCAAGCATGCCCTTTTCTTTTGAACTATGTGCAAAGCGGCACGCGAGCAAAAGAATTTTTAAAATGGGGTATGCATATAACGGAGGAACATAGAAATATGTATGCTTGCTTTTTTTTTTTTCTTCTTTTTTTTCCATTTAGCTCCATCCGGAAATGTTTTCAAATTGGAGCATAAATGGTATATATGTTCGCGCGACAGTCAAAGGGTGGGAGGACTGGAAAAAAAAAAAAAAAGAAACTTCCTAATATCGATATGTACTGTACAATTATGGCCTGCGCGTGGTCGGCATATACTTTGCTCAACCGGAACGTGTCATTCGTCACCGTCACTTGGATAATCCCTTTTGACCCACCTCTTCTGTGGAAGCACACCACAGCTGTTCCGTGCTTGTTGTCATTATGGTGATTCGGAAGAGATTGACCCATTGACCGACTGACCCAATGACCAGCTGACCCATTAACCAACTGACCCACTGACCAGCTAACCAACTGATTCATTTCTTTTTTTTTTTTTTGTCCGCCCGTCCTTTTTTTCCACATGACAAAGTGGCAAGAAGACCGCCTTCTACTGGTTACCGTGTAAGGCAAAAAAACATGGAACGTCCAAAGCGTTCATTTTACTGGACCCCCGGTGTGTACATATATAAAAGCGTACGTAACCCTGGCGAGGACACACCCACCAAATGAAAAGGAAATTACTAAGCTAACTTCCTGCTCACTTCATATCAATTTTGCGAAAGGAAAAGGAACGTCAAACGAAAAATGGTTTTTAATAAAAAGGCGAAAAAAAAAAAAAAAAATACATGCAAAACTATGGCTCGTAGGAAAACCACCCCACACATATAAGACATCCTTTTGTGACCCCTCTGCAAATGAACTTATCGCGCAGCTCGGGGTGGTGGTAGTAAGAAAGCATACCTGTGACAAACTACCCAGACGCGGAACTGCTGGGATGTAAACAGGAAGGACTTCCAGACGCTCAGAGGGGGGGATGTACTGAGCGGCTCCTCGTAAAATAGGAAACGATTGCAGCTATGGGACAGGCGGCACAGTTACGTTTTGGGGGATGCATACACATATGCTACTTCTGCGGGGTTCCTAAGTTGGCACGCAGAACGGTTGCATTCCTTACGTCGTTGCGCTGTTTTTTTTTTTTTTTTTTTTTTCCCAAAAGGGTTTCTTCTCCCCCACCCTGCGCATTGAAAAAAATTGCAAAACATCAATTCGAAGGGAACTCAGCAGCACAGCGTAACTTAATCCTGCTGTTGGAATTTTTTTTTCCTTTCTTTTTCTTTTCCACACTTCCCCTCATCTGACTCTTTCCTCTTTGGCACATTTTCGCATCTTTACTTCTCCCAGCAATTGCCCACGTGACGCGGGGGGGGGGGAAAAAAAAAGATGACCGTTCGTATGAACGGTAAAAATAAAAACGAAGCTCATCTGCCATTGTGTTGAGCCGACTCTATGGCGACTTATGGAGTCATTCTGTATGGCGTGAAACACGTCTACATCGGTGTGCCCCGTTCGAATTAGCATTTTGTCCTGCCAGAGGAAAACTCCCCTAGCTTTTGCACCTCACGAGGGAGTCACCCTTCCAAATAGTTTTTACCTATAAAGTGTACCTCACGAAAATCTTGACGATTTCATGAAATTGTATGTTCCCTTTTTAGACGTCGGTATGACCACACCAAAGTTACTGGGCAAGGATCGTCTCTTTCAAAGTGGTTCTTTCTACGCGCAGCCACATCGCCAAAAAGGCACTTTCTCAAATGGGCATACGTCGATAAAAACATCACCTATATGCATACCAGTAGTAGATCAGCGTGACTAGACCTTTTTTGTACACTCTGCGTAAAAAGAGAAAAAAAAAATCGAGATGGGAAACTCTGCTTCTTCCCAAAACGAACACACAGGGAGAAGACTAATTCTGTTGAGTGATGAACTTACGCAGAAGTGTGAGAAAAAAAATGACGCGAATGTTGAGGCTGACATAAAGCTACAAGAGACGAGGAACACCACACGGGAACAGATCACCGCGGAAGTGGCGCCACCGGGCAGAGGTAACAACATGCACATGGAAAACAGAATAAGCGAGGGGACAGGCTGGGAAACATCTTTACAAGTGTGACAAACAGCATGTAAAGGCTGCTTCCACCAAAGTGAATTACTCCACAATGATGCCAACAGAGGGGATATTACCACTGAATATGCGTATCCAGTACACCTCTACCCCTTTTGCCAAAGCAACAGCCGAAATGTGTATTAGGACGAGCCCTAATCGGCACACCCACCCCTCTGTTAATGATATTTAGTGACCGCAGCACTGCGATGAAAGAAAAAAATGTAAGCAAACAAAATGCAGTCCCCCTTTTTTCATTCTTCATTTCTTCACACTCCAACCCCACAGAACAGCAATACAGGGAGCTACGCAGTGAGATCCTCAATGACCTGATTAGAGAGCGCGAGAATTATATGTATTCGGAGATCGACCCATTTTACTCAGAAGATAATGGAGGTGATAACGAGATCAGGGCGAGCCAAATGAGTAGCAACAAATGCATTTCGGATGAACGGAAAATATATAAATGCCTAAAAGACATGAATGCGTCCACGTCGGGCTTTGTTAACTCCTACTCCAGGTGCTGCAGATACTTGCAAAGATACGAAAATTGTGTACATAAAATACGCGTATGATGGGAAGCGTTTCTCAAGTGGAATCGTCTAGCCATTTCATCGTAGGAAATGCGTGGTAGCTTTTTTTTTTCCCAGTGTAGACTCCACTTCACTGCCAAATGTAGACGTGCACCCCAGGGTGAACCTCATCTGTTTCGTTATCCGTGCGGGGCCATCCCCTCCACGAGGATACAAATCACCATGTTCTTCCCCCCTCCAATGGGTTACCCCTTCGAGTAAACGTTAAAGCAATTCATGCGTTTTTTTTTTTCTCTCTTTCACTATATTGAATCGTAACCCCGGTAGACTCTCCTCTAGTCGGGTGTTTTCCTTGCTCAATGATAACTGCCTAGCTCCCCGGGCACAGATTCATGATAATATCCTCACCGCATTCTGACATATATGCCGCATTAAATGGGAAGAAGAAAAAAAAAAAATAAAGTAAAATAAAAATAACATCACTTGATGGCAGAAAGGTGGAAGGAAGAGAATACTCCGCCAAAGTAAGTAGCCAAATTACTGCAACACTCTTCTGCACAATTCTCTGAAAATACGCCTTTTCTTAGAACAGAAAAATGCCGACCTCCTAAGGGACAAATTGTGCGTTTATCATCCCTTTAACAAAGCCCCTGTTGAGCGTTTACGCAAAATCGTCTGATTCGTTCAGGTAAAAAAAGAGAAAAAAAATCGAAAATTTTGGCAAGTAGGAAAAAGCGCAAAAAAATGACCAACAGGAATGAAAATTACCACTGCGCGATTAAGCATACCACCGCATCCCTAAACGTACCACCACACGCCTAAACGTACCACCTCGCACCAAACCATGGAGGACGACTTCCACGTGGACGAGGATTACATCAAGCACCTGTCGGAGAAATACAAGAACGCCGAGCACCCCCTCTTCATGGATGAGCTCCCAGCCAACATCGAAGAAAATGAAGACCTGCATGCGCTCTACAATTTAATGATAGACGATGAAGACGAACTAAGTCTGGCCAAAAATTTTAAACAAGTGGGAAACGATTACTACAAGGATGGAATGAAATATTTTGAGGATGCCATAATCAGCTACACCAAGGGCATAGATATCCTCACGAAGCATTGGGAGGATAAGAATCTGGAGAAGCGCAATGCACAGAGGGGTAAACGGACAAATGACAGCAACAGTTCCACCTCTGAGAGGATCAAAAGTGACACTCAAAATGTCCACTCAAAATGGATTAGCAACGGGATAGGTACCACAAATGGGGAGACCTCCGCCCGGGAGGAGGCAGTCAAATCTGAAGTTAAGGAAGACTCCTCTTCTGATAGGAAGGGCGCACAGATAAGGATACCAAATGGGTTACAAAATGAAGATGGCCACCGTGATGACCTCCGTAATGGTCACCGCGATCACCTCTGTGATGACGAAATAAGGGGCGTCCTGGCCGATCTCCACTGCAACCGAGCAATCGTCCACTACAAGAAGAAGCGCTACGTGAAATGCCTGTGCGACTGCCGAAAGGCCTACGACTTCAATAAGACAAAATTCAAGAGCGTATACTACAGCATCCTGTGTTCCTACCACTTGGAATTATACAAAGATGCACACATGTACGTTAACCGATTTGAAGACATGACCAAATCGATTGATCTGAAGAAGCATATCAATTTGAACGAGTACGAAAAGATCAAGAAAATCATTTTCAAAAAATACGAAGACATTTTAAAAAAAAATAAAATATATCAAGATGAAAAAAGAAAAGCGAAGGAAAAGGAAAAAAACGTTGCCAATCTTGTCCAAGAAATTTTACACAAAAGGAACATTCAGATGGTTGAAAATGTATACCAGCAAACGAACAATGTGATCCCTGTGCTTTATGTTGATACCTCTATGTACATTCACCTTACCGTTTTCTTGCTATATTTCGAATGGGGAATCATAGAAACGATCGTAGACTTTGCGGAGAATCAATCCATCATGGATCATTACGATATTGTGAAGAAGAACAAAAACGACGATCTCCTTTTCTGCTATGTTGAATTCCCCGATGATGTTTTTTTCATGTTCCCTAGCAGCTCCTACATTTGTGATGTCCTCAACAAGGCCAAATTATTTTCCCCCATTCTGTCCATACACATTATCGAGAATGAGGAGGCCAACCGACAATTCAGGAGTGGGAAAATGGTTAAGTCCATTCCATTGTGAAGGTCGCAATTGCCCGCAAAGGGCAGTACAGCGTGCGGCTTTTTTTTTTCTTTTCTTAGTTTTTAACCCTTCCGCATTTATTTGCCCAATGTCGAGACGGGTGCGAAGCAATCTGTCAACCCTGTACAGGTGCTCTTGGGTCCAACACACTACACTGTTACGTGCCGAAGAAGCTATTTGGCCCATTCCCGCCCGGTGCACACTGGTCCCGAGTGCTACCTTGTTTTACCCCCTTCTTTATGGCCTCCATTTTTTAAGAGGCTTCCACTCCCTATTAACACCCTTTTACAAACTTCATCACAACTGTTTGTCACCCCCCATTTTGTAAACCTTAAACCGAAATGACTGCCCCGTCCCAGGAGTATGAAGGATGAAAGGTACGCATGGCATGGCACTTGCGTTTGCGCGATCCCTCTGCGGAGGCGTTATTACGTATATATATAATTCTTATCAGTTTACGCGATTTTCGACATGCAAAGTTTTACTTCTTTCAGTCCGCCCATCGCTAAAAAAGTATTCATCATTTGAAGAATTACATATCAGTTCGCAGGTCAACTGCTTCGTTTAAGAAGGGGAATCGTTTGGGAACAGTTTGGCAATGGAAGTTATGGATGTTCAAATTAAGGAGTGAGGTATTTCATATTAAAATTCCGGGAGAAGCGCATCCCTCCCCATTCGCATATCTTCCAAAGAACGTCGGCCTCCACAAGGGGGTAATAATCTCGCGGGTGGCCCACCGAGTGAAAGTACCATCTCACTTTCCCTTAACCTTTTCTTGCGTATTGGTTCAACTCATTTTCACGGCATAGGCGAAGTTCCTACTGGAGGGGGGCCAAAAGGATAAACAAAACTTCGTTGTACGAATTCGCAAGGTTGGAGGCACACGTTGTTTTATTCATTTTTTCGTGCTTATCACAAAATTGTAAAAAAATTAAACTTTTGCTTATCCGTTTGAAAAAAACATATGTACATATG